CTCGAAAGGTCGAAAGATCAAAAGTTGACCTTAGGTCACGTGACCTAAGGTCAACTTTTGACCTTTCGACCTTTCGAGGTCAACATACATATGTTTCGATGCGGATCGATGAGAGGATCACGATGGTGCTATTAGTTTGTTCCTAGCTGGGATACCTTGAAAGTTATTCGAGAAAAACTTCATATATATGTAGCGCCGCAATTTTGACTTCCTTTTTGCTCCTGTGACGTCATCTTTGACCTGACCTGAAAATGACCTCAGTAAAAATTATAGACCTTATCCATTTGTACCCTGCACCGTTTACCGCTTGTCGCTATCTTGCTTTATTCTCGAGATATCGCTGTCGCTCCCGCTCGTAATAATGGACAGGTCATAAAAATGACCTGACCTGAGGTCAACGCAGGGCGATATCCACTTTTTTTATTTTCGCATATGAATGACAATTGGTAAGGCTTTAATCGTCATCAGACAAAATTGCAACTTTCAGTGGGGAAAATATCAAGGTCACTCTTGTAAAAATAGGTCAAAAGGTCACGTGATCAAAATTTTCAAAATTGAAAATCCGAGATAGCCAAAATGTTTGTTGGTTGATTGTGAGTTGAACCATGTAAAGTTTTTATCGCAGAAAACCAATAGTGTTTTAGTTATAGGCCGCCAAACATAGGGCTGCAGCGCGACATCCAGGAATTGCCCGAGGCTATATCTCGGAAACCGTTGTTCGAAGAAAAAAATCCTTGCCACAGCTGGCTTCCCCGCCCATCACAAACCATTAGACCAATTTTAAGCAAAAAATAAAATATGAGGGTGCAGGGCACTTGTCGATTTGTCGTGGAACGCCCCTGATGAATGTTGATTTTGATAAAGCTAAGTTATGGTACTTAGATACCTACAGCTGTCGGTTATGCATGTTGCGAAGTAAGGGGACAATATCATTTGATATTTTGCTTTGATATTTTGGTCGAGTTTTGTTATTTTTTTCTCTGATTACAAATTTTCTACTAATTGCTGTAATTTAATCGTTTGAAGACAGTGGACAGGTATGGGATGCTTATACCAACCAATCAGGCTGGTCTGTGACTGACTGAAGGGCCTGTGGGACCCATGAGGTGCCCTGAGCCCTGACCGACAGGAGTGCCGGTCGGGTCCTATGAGCTCTGAAGCAACATCACCCGGCCAGTGCCGCGGTCCGTTTCCCGGGAGCCGAGCTGTCCCATGGCCCGGCCGGCGGGGCTTCGCTGGGCCACTCTCCGGTTGCATTATTTGTGTCACCGCGGCCGGCAGGTCTGTGGTAACCCACTCCGGTGCGCACAGCAGGACCCGCTTCAATCACCCGCCCGGCGCAGCGCAACGCCACGCATCGCGACGCAGCGCAGCGCGAAACTCCCACCCGGCCGGCGAAGGACGCCGAATTGGCTGCGTTTGCCGATCCGCGGGTGCCGGCGCCCCTGGCATTGTGCCCTCCGGTGGCGCCCGGTAGCACTCAGTGGCACCCGACCTTCGTGGTCTCCGCGCCGCGTCTCTACTGTGCTGCGTCGCTGCTCACCGCCGTACGGCGAAATGCGCCGCAATTGAGGCAATTAGCGGCGCGCGCCAGCGGTAGGAGCGGCTCCGCGCAGTCTGCCCGAACCCGGCCAAGGTCTCGCGGCGTCACCGAGTGATCCACGGACAGTGGGATCCACTGGCGTCCCGAGCACGCCCAGTCGCGTCCCGTCCGACCTGTCACGGCTGACCGCCGCACAGTGGCCCTTTTTCAGAATTAGCACGCATAAATTCAAAATATTTTTTTTTCTTCTTTTGAGTAACAAGCAGTCTAATCGTGTGCAAAACATTCCAAACTATCCGATGGTGCCATTTTTACCTCCTAAAAAATAATTATCTTTGGTAAAACTGACCGCAAAATCGAAGTTTGTCGAGAGGCGCGCGGACACCACCGGCGGACCCTAAAAAGTAGGGTGAGATGAACATCAATTTGTAAGGCTTTCGGTGAGAAAATATTAAAAATTAGTGGCATGGCTGTGAGGCTGAGTTTACGTAGAAGCCCTAGAAACCACAATTTTCATTGTATAAACTTAAATAGACCACTTTTGCCGAATATTGTGGACACAATAACAGGACAATTATTAACTGGAGATGGCGGCATACATATGAAGCTTTATGTTAAGTAACACACTCTGGGACATATCGTATTATACATCGTTCGAATCGCCGATCTCTTCTGACCATGTCCACCAAAGGGCATCGCGCCATTTTGCGCCATTTTGCTTCTACGGTGAATAACGTGAGCCAGTTCAGTCCGCGAGCGGCTGTGGCTCCTATTCGATACGACTAAGCTCATTGACCTGGCTCGAAGCTGGTGTCACCTGGTGGGCGCCTAAATGTGGCTTGACTTTTGCCATAAGATGTGCTTATTGAAATGTCATATAGGGATAACGCTGTGCTCAAGAAAAACTGACCGATTTCTTGTCGCGTTTGATGTCCAAGCCGCACAAGTCCCGTGGTCGGCTTAAGATCTAACGTCAAAAGCGCCTATGTGTTTGTATTGTTCGCGTCGCGCTGACCTTAGTTGCTGCCCGGCCGGGGCCGATTAACGGTGGCTGGCAACAGCTGCAGATGCGGTCACGTGACGCCCTGAGGCGTCCTGGCGGTCAGTGCAGCGCGGTCGGCTGGCGGGCTCGCCACACTTGCGTTCGGAGCGGCCTGGGCCGGCGGGCGAGCCGTGCGAACGTACGCCAAATCTTGGGCCGAATCTCCTTGGGCAGTTCGTTTCTTTTCTTGTCTTTGCATTGGCAGGGAATACGTCCTTGATCACGTGGTGATGTCTTGCACCACTTTCAGGTAATGTGGGAATTAATGCGTGCTAATTCTGAAAAAGGGCCACTGTGCGCCGCGTCTGGGACGAGTGCCTGTCCTCCCGAGCCGCGCGCGTGGCCTTCCCGTGCCCCCACGCCTGTGTGACGTGTCCGGCGCGGCCCCCGGACTCTGGTCGGTCCGCGGCGCACCCACGTGTGTGCACGTGTCCGCCCGTGTCTGCGCACGTGTCTGTCCGTGGTGGCACCTGTGCCCGGCCTACTGGGGTCGAGGTGTGGTTTTTGCGTCTGATCGGGTAAGGGGTTGTGTCGGTCGCGCCGTTCCTGAGGGTTGAAACACTCGGAAGAAACACGAAGCAGCCTTCTGTTGTAAGACCAGCACCGCGTCGTATCGGGTATCGCTGGAGCCAGGGTATCACTGATCAGTGCTCAATTATCCACGAGTGATACGGACCGAGGGCTGAAACAGAGCTGGTGCTGAAGCCACAGGTCCAGCAAGGGCTGCCGAAGGTATCCTCCACCCTCTCGGGCCCCCCGACCCTGGCCGTGGTGCCCCGGGCCCTGCCGCCGGCGCTCCACGACGTGTGAACCGGGCGTCACCGTTCGGACGATCGGACCGACAAACCTCGCGCCGAACCGGTGACGTGATGAAAGTTCCGCCTAACCGGGCCCCCGGGCGGCGCGAATTAATCGAAATTGGTTGAGTAATGTGCGGGAAATGAACTGCGCTGTTAGGTAAGTGGTGACCGGAAATGGAGCCACATGACGCGGGCCTTATTTACCGTAAATGCCCCGTGTGAACTGCTCCATTTTCTTCTGTTTGTTTGACGGCGTTAGGTCACTTTCATTTTCAGCCGGAAACGATGTGACATTGGACGCCTGTTTCCCCGCCAGCCGATTAGGGCAGTGCGTCGTTTCTAGGGGTATTTGACTCGGCGCGATTTCTCATCTGGGCTGAACGGGATATGTTTCTGGGGCCGTGAGTATTGCCGCGGGAGGCACGTCGAAATACATAAACACTTTGGAATACTGTTGGTAACATAACGTCACCTGACACTGGGAAACAAACCACCTCTGTGCCGCCCCCGCCCCCGCCCCCGCCCGCGCCCCCGCCGCCGGCAGTGGCGCCCGGCGATTGGCACCGCATTGGCTCACCGCTGTTGCGTATCTGGAGCAGCTTGACCGCGACGTCAGGTCCGGTGTCACGACGACTCTGTCAGTCACCATCAGCCCCTGTCAGGCGCTGTCAGTATCTCTCAATCGCCGCCAGTCATTAGTAAAGCTGTATGCCGTCATGGCTTGTGGTGAGGCCGCCGCTGCCTCCGGTTCCTATCATTTCTGTGTTTGGTGGGAGTTAGGCACGATTTGTTACACCTGATATGGTGATGGCTGCTCATATATATGCTCTTACTCAGATTGCCATTAATACACATATACAGGCCAAATCGCCAACATCGAGTCATGGTCTTTTCCAACTGGCTTGTTAGATCGTTGTTATTGCTAAGAATTGCATGCATGATATGATGTTGAAATAATCGTCTCCAGGAGCTCTCGATTAGTTGTTCTTTGAAGCAAGATAGGTTCTCAATGTAACATAGAGAGTTTATGTCGCGTTTACCATACAATACAATTCACCTTGTAAAGCACTCGATAGCGGCTTCTAACCGACCGCCCTGGCCATTGACAAGCTGTTAGCTCGTGTCACGAACAAGCGTCAGAGGCCCGAAGGGGGCAATTGACATGGCCGGTGCCCGATATGTGAGGGGTCCGTCGGATGTTACGGTTTTATGAATGGTGTTTAGCCCATTCAGTCAGCACTCTGCGCTGGTAGGCTGTGTTTCACAGAAGGATAGACCAACGGTGACCAATGCGGAAACCCTCGATAGCAAAGCGTGTCATGTTTGTCATACACCTACAAGTGCTCAGAATGACCTCTTATCCTCTATATGGTTTCACGAACGTCACCGATCGTTCGCGGCATATAAATGCGACCGTCCATGATCGGTCCCGCTGTCATAACGATTAATCGGATGCGACCATATGCTATCAGTAGGTATATTTATATATTCTCCGCTGCCCCGACTGCCGCCCTCGCCTCTGCAAGAGGGGGGGGGGGGCGCCGCGGACCCCTGAGACACGTCTATCGTCTGACCGTCCACGTCTGACCGTCTCTCGGTGTCCGTTGTGTTTCAGAATGTCTCAGCCACCTGCAGAGTATCGTCCACAAGCAGAAAGCCCACCTGGGCTCGACGGACCCGCCGCAGCCGGCAGCGCACTCCGCCTCCGGTGAGTGACCCGGTGACCTGGTGAGTGACCTGGTGGGGGGGTGACCTTGGTGACCTGATGACCTGGTGAGTGACCGAGTGACGGTGCTTTCTGCAAGCCACAGGACCATCCATCTCTTTTTTCTAGACCCACTTCTTGATTAACACCATCCTTGATTTGTCACAATTTTATCTTCCAATTTTTTATGTTGACATTGACATGTCTTCCAGTGTCATAATGCTGAAAAACTGGTGTTGATAATGCTCGGAATGATGCCTTTGAGACCTTGGACCTTCCCATGTTACTGAGTCGGCATTGTGTGTTGGCATTGGATTACGTGACCAGCTGAAACCCCACGGGGATTTTCACATTTTCTCTTTTAGCTTGTAAAAGCCGAAAGGTCGTGGATTCGAAGGAGTGTGTTCCGAGTAAAAAAAAAAAAGATCAAAATCTATGCCTAGGCCGTCTAATGCACCGCTACCATTCGCACCAGCCTCGCCTCCTGGGCCCAGTGTCGGCGGCCCGGCCCGAACACTCGACTACCGACCGATGACACAATCTGACGGAAGTCCAGTTGACTTTTGGTGAGATCGGCCGGCGGCGGCTGGTCCTGGAGTGAGCGGACAGACCCAGCGCCGATGGACGAGTCATGTTTCGCATTCGAAATGACCGTAAAACTGTGCTGACGTCACACGACCACCGGTGACCAGTCAAAGACGAGCGATTGTGAGCGCGACCGGGTGGCAGGGGGCTCCTTTGGAACGGGAAGGGGGGGAGGCTGCGGAAGTGCTCCGTACTCCGTGTGTGATGCGGGGTAGTCAGAGAAGTAGCTCAACGTTTGCTTTTGGAGCTGAGATTTAGTAGTCTGCGATTGAGACGGCGAAAGGGCTCCGGTAAAAAAAGTCCCCGTTGAGAGATGCGAGGTGTATCTTGGTAGCTGACTCGATCAAATCGAGCGTCTGATCGATGATCTCACTCGATCTCGCCGGCCAAATACGGCGGGACATCCTGCAAGCGCAGGATATTGATGTGCGGCCCGAAATTGCATCACGGAGTGGATGTGTCTGCTGTTATTTTACCGGCGAGTGTCGCATATTCGGGAGATGTTGACATATTGCTACCGGCGCAGGGAAGCAGTAGAGTGGATTTCACTTTTTGAGCACGAAATCGTTGTTACGGCTATTGTTTAATCATATATCCGTGAACCCAACTTAATCGTTGGTGTGGAGTTCGCGAGCCGAGCGTCGTGAAATCAGTTAAATATGCTTGTGCATTTTATGCTAGAGTGGAAACTGGAAGTTCTTTCGGATACTGGTGTTGCTACCTAAAATAGACAATTCCAGTAACAAGCTTCAGGTTATCAGAGCGGCATCCCCCCCCCGCCGCCATTCCAGAGTTTTCATCGTCGCATTGCAGTCTTTTTACCTCCCTTGTTCTCCTTATACTGTGTTCCGACTTGTGCGATACTGAAGTCTCCGAGGTGTGGTGTTACCTGTTTATGCCGTACTGCAGTCTCCTCATACCGACTTCTGTTACATACCGAGCTGTCAGGCTTACTGTTCGAAGTCTCTTGCGTGTGGTGCTACCTGCGCATGCCGTATCGCAGTCTCCCTGCTTGCTGTGTTTCTGGCCTGTGCTTTATTGCAGTCTCCCGGATATGGTGTTAGCTGCTTATGCCGTACCGCAGTCTTAATACCCATCGAGACTCTGGCCACTTTTTATGCTCTGCCGTGTTACCCAGGTCCCTCCCGTGTCCCCAGGTATGGGCTCGTCGGCCCGAGCTGGCCGAGTCTCTGTATAGGTGTTACTAATGCTCCGGTGTCTTACCCTGTTCCCCCCTGTGCCCCCAGGTATGGGCTCGTCGGCGGAGCTGACCGGGCCGGGTCAGCTGGCTGGACCGGGTCGACACACCGGAGGAATGCTCATCAGACACCAAGGTAATCCCGCCGCCTAATTGTGGCTCCCCGACACTCCGGGGGAGTTTTTACCGCATGGATCATAGCAGGCTGGGTGTGCTATTAGGGGATTAATGGACGCCATGTTTAAGAGATAGTTGCAGCATTTCTGAAAGCCGTCACAAACACCGTAACCTCGGAAGTAAAGGGTAATTAGTGTTTGTCCACAATTAGCCCCTTCCCCGTCCATTTCGGGGTGACCTATGATGTTATCCAGCGATAATGTTTCCGTCACATCGGAGAGGTGAGTTCGAATCTCTCCAGCGTCCGGAGTTTTCTTACCACTTCACCCAGGGTGACTTGCAGTATGCGGTGACATCAGATTTAGTGTCACCGGATGATTTCGCTCGTGCGAGGTGTGCTTTGACTTCCAAGAATGTGGAGATGTATGGGTATGTCTGCAACGTTTGGCGTTGAGTGGCTCACTCGTGCTGTGCTGGTGACATAAAAGCTGGTGGTGATTGCAAGTGATGGCTCTCAGATTTCGCATCCGACAGCTTTCCTTAGCTCAAGGGCTTCTAACTAATCAATAGTGAGTTATTTACAGCTTTCAATAACCGTTTTACGTCCTTCCTGAGCACTAGGTGTTCCCTTTCCCTTTTCTGCCCGTTGGTTGTGATGTACCGCCTCACTTCCCGATTCGAGCTGTCATCACGTCTGTCTAGCGGCATTCTGTGTTGAAACTCTGGGCGGAATATCCTGGTTGGAGGGGCGCGTTTCCGCATAGCGATGGCGCGGCCGGGCGCTGGCCATTAGGATTCACACCGGGGGTGACAGCGATCGCCATCTCGCTCCGCCGGCGTCCTCTCCAAATTCACGCTCGTTTCTGCAAACTGGCCGGGCGCGGCGAATCGCCGCCGAGCTCTCGCGGAAGCCGCTGACGGGTACACGCCATTCACCGCGAGTCTGCTGCTCAGAAATGCACGCCCCCGCGGCTGGGCCGCCCGCCACCCCCAGTCCTGCGGAGCAGCACACGGCACGGGTTGGTGATGTTTCGGCACCCGGCTACCGGTGCCCCGGTGCTGCAATGTGCCGCTGTGGAGCCGCCTTCCGGTATCGGACGGCGGTGGGTGATCACTGACGGACGGACAGACGCTATCGGCAGGCCCACTGTCACCGCGCCGACCGTCACGGCGGCGCCGTATACGTCTCACTGGCGAGACGGGCCGGCGGCGGCGGAGGGGGCGGCAAGGTAATGTGCGGCGGCTGGAAATCAGTACTAATTTACCTATATCTGGTGCTGTATCGCCAGAGCAGAGTAATTTGTAACGGTTCAGGTGAGGGGGGGGGGGGCGATGCAGCGGTATGGATTTGGATTTGCAGGTGCAAGAAAAGATAGCAGCCTCATCAGCGGTGTATCTAGAAACAGCAGATGACAGCTGCCAGATAAACGCGACAGATGACTGACAAATGCAGTCATGAAATTAGGTGACGGACCTGGGCCGATCCCCCACCGAGCCGGTTCACACCGCGCGGGTCCATCGTTCACCGTCCGGTGCCTGATTTGTCAGCCACCGGGTCTCACAGCGCCGCTCCACATATCGTCCCGGCCGTCCCCGAACTGTCCGCTGTACATCAGTCACCCGGTGCGCCCGACCGGCATCCCGGCCCGACTTTATCGTCTGTCTGACGGCGGCGAGCACAGAGGGTCACCCAAGCGCGACCGTGTGTGTTTGTGATGGTGCTGAATACTTCATCCCGGCCGCGTCGGATGGCGGCCTTGGCGCGTCTCAAGTCTGTAGCGATACCGGGAATTCCAGCCGAGTTTGAGGAATTGGTGCTACACCCAGGAGCGCCGACTACTGTGTCTCGGAGAGGATGTCGTAATGTTTGGGCGTGTGGCGGGCCAGAGGTGCTCCGAGTGGCAGAATGACAGCGGCGTGGATCACTCCAAATAGACAAATACTCTGAGCTGGGTAGGGGACGTTGGGTATTGCTGATTTATGAAACGCGGCTATATCCGATATGCGATGTCTGTTTTGAACGTCCAGGCTGCGGGGTCCCGTCTTATCGTTCACCTGTAAAATTATCGCTCAAGGTCGTTCTATGCATTGCTGCGGCATGCCGTGAATATCTATCATTTATTTGTTTTCTTTTTCGATGCCAGGGCGCCACGATATAACATATGTTAAGGTTCCGAGCCATGGTTCATGTTTGGTTTGGCTCCCTCTCGAGTCTATCGAGTTCTAAGTGTATGATTAGACCCCCCCCCCCCCCCCGTAGGGAAGCCTCAGCAGTGTATGACCGGACTCTCTCCCGGCAGAGTATGAGGCGGGCCCGGTGCGGCTCGACTCGCACCGGCCGCCGCTGGCCGGCACCCTCAGCTCAGCGCGGTCCGCCGCCCACCTCCGCCGCTCGGCGCCCGTGCTCCTGCCGGCCGACTCGCCGCCGCGACGGAAGGTGGCGCGCCAGTCGCGCACGGTCGCTGTAGGTGGCGCCACCGCGCCCGTCACGCCGAAACGGCCAGCAGCGAGCAGACGTGCGGAGGAGTCTCGTAAACCGCGGAATGAGAAACGAATCGTTATCGCCGGCAAACGAGTCAGGAAGGTGGCCCCGAAAAGACGAGGTAAGCATCAGCTATCAACCACACAATATTTGTTCAAAGCTGAAAATTCCTTCAAACATTCAACCTGAATATTTCATCATCTGCCTTCCTAGACTAGAAAAAAACAATTTGGTGTAGGTGCGTTGTGTTTGGCATTAGATAAACTTCCTCTCATCGAGTTCCGTTTCTGTCGTGAAATCTCACCGTTTGGTTTATGTGTCGTTTCAGACTTTTTCAACACAGTGGGCACGCCGTCGGCGTACCGTCCCCGCTCCCCGCTGACGCACGGGCCGCCGCTGGCGTCGACCGGCCGCCGCGTGCTCCACTCTCCTGAACAGAGGACCTACGGCAGCTGGCTGTCTGAGCCGGCGGCCGGCGTGGACCGGACACCGGCGGGGGACAGTGGGAGCAGGGCGGCGGGCGGGGCGCGCGGTGGAGAGGAGAGCCCGGCAGGGCGGGGTGTGAGGCAGACGGACCGGGAGAGAACCCCTGTGAGGCAGGCAGACCGGGAGAGGACCACTGTGAGGCCCGCAGACCGGGAGAGGACCCCTGTGAGACCCACAGACCGGGAGAGGACCACTGTGAGGCCCACAGACCGGGAGAGGACCACTGTGAGGCAGGCAGGCCGGGAGAGGACCCCTGTGACGCCCACAGACCGGGACAGAACTCAGAGAAGGCAGGAGAACGGTCTGGGCGCGGCCGCGTCTGCCCCGGTTCTGGTGTGGCCGGCCGCGGCGCGGGGTACTCCGCCGGCTGGCCCGACCCCTCCTACCGACCACCGGCGGAGGGTAGTAGTGATGGAGCCGCCCACCCAGTACCCCCGAGACACCTGGTCCCGGATCTTCCCCGGGATTGACGCCGAGGAGAGGACGCCCTCGCCGCGGGCACCGCAGGCAGCGGTACAGGGCGGGTCGGGGAAATCACCGGTACAGACCGAGCCCTCTGCGGCGGCAGCGAACGGCTCGGAAACTAAGGTGAATAGAGCAGAGGCTGAGAGTAAGGCTCCTACAGCAGAAGTTGCGGGCAAGGAAGCTCGGGAGGGAAAGCCGCCAAAGACGGATAAGGGAGGTGATAAGGAGGGCGCTGGCAAGGCGCCGAAACCCAATACCACCGGTGCGCGTAAGAAAGCCAAGCAGACCAAGCCCAAGAGCGGGTCGGCGTCTGACCAGCGCGGTAAGCCCACCGCGCTGTCGAACGGCCGCGGCTCTCTGACCTGGCGGGGCGCGCGGCCGGAGGGGAGCGGCCCGCCGGCCGGCCGCGCCGCCTCCCGCAGCCCGACCAAGGCGGGCCCGGGCCGCGCCCGGTCCGGGGTTAGACACTCGGCCAGTCGCAGTCCGGGCAGAGCGGACACCGCGCGCGCCCGCTCGGCCGCCGGCAGGCCGGGCGCCGCCGCCGCGCCGGCACCGGGGGCGGCGGACGGGGCGCCCAAACCGGCCCGGAAGGCAGGCCCCAAGCCGCTGGCGGCGCTGCGCCGGCGGCTGGCGCAGACGGAGCCGCCCCGCGAGGAGCGCCGGCCGCGCACGCGCAGCTACGACCGCGCCCAGGTGCGCCGCTTCATGGCGGAGCGTCGTGCGGCGCTGCGCCGCAGCCGCGAGCAGCAGGAGGAGGAGCGGAACCAGCAGCGCCAGGCGCGCCGCCAGCAGCTGGAGAAGCTGAGCGCCGTCTGCCAGCAGCAGATCAAGGGGGCGCGCAAACGCGGCCCGCAGGGCGGACGGACCGACCGAGAGTGGCAGGTAAGGCGACCAAAACACGAGAACTGGGAGCGGACGAGGGGTGTGGGGATTCCTTCTAATTCCCGTTTAAGTTCATTGGGAAAATGATGCTTAGCTTTACCCGTGTTGTTCGTACTCATGATTGGTCAACCGTTCCGTTTGAAGCTGTTCGTTACGAGCTGAGCTATCGCAGTCATAGCCGCGGCGCCAGCTCTCCTTTGTCCGCCAGATGAAGTACCGTTCTTTTTGTCCGCCAGCCTCTGGAGCTGGAGGATGACGAGGAGGACGAGCCCGACCAGCAGACCACCGTGCTGCGGCGCGCCTCTGCCGGCGTGGCGCTGGACATCTCGCTGACCGGGCGGCGGTCCCGGCCGGCGGCGCGCCGCTCGGTGGGCCAGGCCGGCCGCCGGCAGCCGCACTCGCCCCCCGCTGCCGCCCCGCCGCCCGCCGCGGGGCCCGGCGCGGGCAGTCAGAGCACCCCTAGCCTGGTGTCGGACGCGGCCGCCGAGCTGGGTCAGTTCGCCGGCCACGAGGCGTTCCGATTCGGCGGCTCGCGGGGCCGGCGAGCGCTGCTGCAGAGATTGGCTGACGAGCTGGGGCCGCTGGTCAGACAGGAGCAGAGCCAGAGTCTGACGGCGCTCAACGGCGGCGTAGCGAGGCTGGGAGACAGTGAGAGAGACACCGAGAGAGACGCTGAGAGAGACGCCGAGAGAGACGTGCAGAGAGACATGGAAAGAGACGCCGAGAGGGACCCGGAGCGGGGACAGTCGACCCCGAGCCGGAGCCGCAGCGGGGAGCGGGGCGAGTCGCCGACAGACACAGAGCTGGACCGACTCTTATGGCGCCGACTGAGACCCGAGTCGGCCGAGCGGCACATCAGGGAGCGGGTCGAGCTGGAGGTCAGCCAGATGAGAGACGAGCTCACCAGGCAGCTCGGTGAGTGCGGCAGCCGCGCGCCGTCCCCGGGATCGGTCTTAGAGCGGGGACTGCAGCCAGGGCATGGCCGCAGGGATGCTAAATAATCGGGATACTCTGGGTTGTTTTGCACTCAATCGATTGGTGTGTGCTCTGCATTTCAGTTCTGCATTTTCGCAATCTTATTCATTTTTTATCAGGCTTTATTGTGGATGAGCAACATTTTGCAATGCGCTTTTAGTTACTGATCAAATTAGCCCCGGTTGTTATGTTGAATCTCTGCTGCATCTTAACCCGTCATTTGTTCGATTTTTCAGCAAATCACCTGCCGCCTACGATAACCCTCCCTCTGACGTCTGCCCTGTTCCAGGTGACGGCAGCGCGGAGTCGTCCCCGGTCCCTCCGCGGCCCGTGGCGGACGGCCGCCTTCAGCTGACTCCCGGCACGGTACCTGTACCGGCCGGACCGGGTGTCTGCGGTCCCACTGCCGCCGCCGCTGTCAGTGCCGTCTCCTCCGCTACCGCTCCGGCTGTCCTCTCCAGTACTGCGGGTCCGCCGCCAAACCAGCCCGGCAGCACGGCAGACGGCGCCAGTGGCGGAGACTCGGTCCGCGCCGCCGCCCCGGCCGGGGAGCAGCCCGGCGCCGCGGCGCGGCCCGCCCCTCCCCCGCCGGCCGACTGGCGCCGGAGGGCGTTCTCTGTGATGCAGACCGCTCTGAAGGAGTACCTGGAGCACGCGGGCCGGCCGGGCGCGCTGGGCGGTACCGGGGACTCGGCGAGTGTGGAGGTGCGCCGGGTCAGCCAGCGGGAGGAGCCCGGACAGATGGAACTGCAGGCGGCGTTCACACAGGTCAGACGGGGGACGGAGAGGGGCTCTGAGCTGCTGGGTAGAAGGGACGGGGAGGAGAGAAGGCTCTGAGCTAACGGCTCTGAGCAGGCCGGTTCAGCGCGACTCCGTTCCAAATGCTCATCTGCAGATGATGGTGCTTCATCTTAATGTTGATCGAGTGGGGCATTGTCATAAATATAATTGAATGCATTTTCAGTGTCTTTGTCATTCAATCAGATCAGTTTTGAGTTTCTTCTGTCGGCTATCCTCCCTCCTACTTTCAGCGTACCTAACAGCGCTGTCCCCCGTTACAGACCGACGCGCCGCCGTCTCCGCGGCCGCCGGCGCCACTCCGCCTGCCCGACTGGTCGGCGCCGCTGCTGCCGCCGCCGCCGCCCGATACGGACAGTTTCGTGTCGGCTCTGAGCCGGAAGCTGCGCCTGCCGCCGCCGCCCGCCCTGCTGCAGCTGGCAGCGGCGGCTGGTGGCGGTCCGCGGCCCCCAGCCCCAGCCGAGGACAAGGGAGTTCAGGTGTCAGAGTCACTCGCCGAACGGTCGACAACGCGGCGCAAAGGCGGGTCAGCTGCCGCCGCTGGCGGAGCGAGACAGACACCTCCGGCGGCTGAGGACGGTAAATCCAGAGACCCGGGGAGGGGGACGGACGCGACGACTGCCGGGGCTGAGGAGTGGGGGTACGGTCTGGACTTTACCACCCTCTCGTCCGGCTCGTTGACGACGAGTGAGGAGGCCCGCGGCTCCGCGGACGCCGCCGAGTCGCAGCGCAGCGGCCTGGAGTCGGGCGACTCCTCCATCACATCGCTACACATCCCCTCCGAGGCCTTCATGCTGCCCAGCTTCAAACGTCTGCGAGACAAGTGCGAGCGCCGGCCACCGGTGTCGACCTCGGAGGGCTCCCTGGAGACCACGGCTGTGCCGCGGAGCGGGCCGCCCTCCGCCGGCCGGTCCCCGCGCAGCCCGCCCACCTCAGGCGGCTCGCCGCCGGCCACGGTCCGCTCGGCTGCCGCCGACCTCCGGCTGCGGCTGCCCGAGTCGTCAGCGACCTCCTCCGCCCGCGGGGAGTCCGGAGACGAGAGGGAGACGGGGGAGGACTCGCGACTCGTCTCCCTGACGGCCGGGACGGAGACGGAGACGGAGACGGAGACGGAGTCCACTGAGAGGGAGACAGAGACTCGCGCGACCGGCGCCGAGGCGGACGGTGCCGCGGTGACGGGCACAGAGAGTCGGACCGATCGCACCACCGCCAGCTCTGAGCCAGGGAGGGAGTCAGCCACCGCTCCGAGCTCAGAGTCAGACGGTGCGTCCGCCACCGCTCCGAGCTCCGGGCGCTCGGCGCGGCCGCGCTCGGCCCAGGACTCGTGGGTGTCGTGCCGCTCCCGTCCGCCGGCCCGTCTGACGGCCGCCGCGCTGCAGACGGAGCTCAGCTCCGAGCTGCACTACCTGCAGAGCGTCGACGAGTCGCTGCTGGCGCTCACTGTGGCGGAGCGACTGAGCACGGAGGCGCGGCTGAGAAGACGCGCCACAGGACTGCAGACTATAGTGCAGGTGAGGAGGGTAGCCCGCGGCCGCAGTGGTGTTGGATATACATAGTTTCAGGGATTTGATACCGTAGATGGGAAAGTGAGCATCTGAAAATGGTTAACTAGCTGGTGTCGGACCTACATCGTTGTGAAGGTTTAGTAGTAAACAAATCTGCCAGCACTGTTCCAGCTATCTGTCTGTTATCTTTTCGCCGCGGTGCCACCAGTTCGACTGGTCCTCGTACGAAATTACCCGTCCCCGAGCCAGGTGACCCCGCTGGTAGTCCCCACAGGACACGCTGTACTGTGTTTTTGCTGTCTTCAATTAACTCGCGTAGCCTCGTAGCTAACTCGCGTAGCCACGCTTGGGCCTCGTAGTAACGCATCCTAAACAGTAACAAAGGTCTAAGACTATCACAATAAGGTGGGCGTCATAATCCTGCACAGGGAAGCAGTGCGGGAGCCGCGGACCGCACGGCCGAACGGCGCAGGGCTGCTCACAGCTTTACACTGACTCAATGACTGACTATAATACTGACTCACTCGCGATCTACAAATTACCGTAATGTGTAAGGGTAGCGGGACATCGCTTTCGCCCGGATCTAAGCAATGTTACCGTCTGATTACTATCTTACGAGTCTCATCCTCGTTGCCGGAAGCTGATGGACTTACTCAGAGGCATAACATGACCTCTCTCGCATATAAATCGGAGCACTGGTACTCTCATCACCATCCATGCCAGGCGCACCCTCGCCCTCAGCCGGATGTGCACAGTCGCACTACTGGCGTTACGTCAGGATGCTTCCGACTGCTGATCTGTGCGGACGACGTCGAGCTCTGTCGCTCTGACATCGCACACCACCCGCTTGCTGAACAAGCCACTTCTTTGGCATTCTGGTGATCGCACCGGCTCGCACGTCATTTGATTGAACGAGGCTGTCGCACAGTGGCAAGCGATGAGGCTCAGGAAAGTCTTATGCGTGGTCCTAGGTGACCGTCGAGAGATCGCCGCCGCGCAACTCCACCGGGCTGGGTTAGTTCGTCCTCATCACCCGGTAACTGGTCCTATCAAGGCGGTAAAGCGCAGAAGTGTTGTAGGAAGTCTCCGCGTCCTCCCGGCAGACGGAGCAGGGTGCGACTCTGCAGTGCGGGTCGTCGCAGCACCCCCGCCAGCCGGGAGGGCGTCTCCCCGACTCTGTGGCTCTACTGGGTAGAGCCGCTCCAGTGGTCGGTGCGAAGCAGATGGACGTCCCCCCGGCCGCCCTGTCACCGTTAGCGATGGCTGGTGATAGCTGTGGGTCCATTAGCTCTCGATACCATCCGACCGGCCAGGCCTGAGCTGTGCGGGATATAGCTCGGTGGGTGGTATGAGCTTCCATCGGGACTTGGTTTGGCAGAGAGAGCATGCTTCCTTAGTGATCAGTGACCTCACCAATCCATTAGGGCGAGCCGACAGATGTTATGCGGCTGTGACCCAGGGCGTCACTGCCATCCATTCCCGGGAATGAACTTGGACGTTCTTCGTAGTTCGCACCACGTCACGCACATTGATCCCACGAGACTGACTGTGATCGCGCTCTCCCACACCGGCTCTCCCTCGGAGCACTTCTCGAGCGATGTGGTGTTAGTCACCGCGCAGACGCTGCACCATTGCGACCGTCGCTGCGCCATCTCCGACCAGGTGGTCGGATGTCCGTTCCCGACTGGCCACAGCTGTGTGCCATAAACCGGCGCTACTACGGCCGGCTGGCTTATGACACAGTTACGCGGCCGGTCACCTCAGGCTACTGGACAGTTTTGCACAAACAGAACCCTCTTACACACTGTTTTTTTTTTTTGTGATGACACTGGCGGTTTTGTTTTCAACTCTTAGTTACCGCCAGACCGTAGTTTTCAGTCTCGTGCACGTTCCTCTTTCGGCAGAATCAAAAGGAGGAGCACGCCAAGGCGCTCAACGAAGCGGAAGAGAAGAGGAAGAAGCGGGAGGAAGAGGAGGATAAGCGCTGGCAGGAGAAGGTGAGGAAGCCAATGATCTCATCTGTCACAACAGTCAGTTTGCCTTTGCAACATGGTCATGTGAAGGTTATGCCGGCCACTTTTTCAGGGACTGGAATGTGTATTCTGACAATTTTTTCTTTTGTTTCGATTACTCTCCTCTCTCAACATTTTCACCTTTCACGTCGGTGTCTTTTCCGCAGCGTGAGGAGTACGCGGCGTCCACCCAGCGGGTGATAGAGGCTCAGGCCAGCGCCGCCCGGCTGAACGCTGAGGCCGCACGCCACCTAGCGCAGGCCAGTACAGCAGCGCCACCTATACCGGCGATAGTGGCGCCGCCTGCGGCGGACGCTGGAGTTGTGGCCGCCAGTGCCGTCGCAGCGGTGCAGGAGGCGATGAAACAGGCAAGTGTGCGTGCTAAGAGATGTCAGAGGGATGTTACAGACAACTGTTTTTAGTGGTAACTTGCAGTTCAGAATGCTGTGCTACAGTGAAGAACGTTTAGTTGTTCCTGTATGGGATGAGAGATTTCCCGTAATGTCATGATTTCTCCTAAGGTAGCATCTTGTGTCACCAGAAAGGAGTTAAGGATTTCGTTTCACCAATGATGTGCAGCGGTTGGCTGAAATCCGATTCTATGGTTTTCGAGTGATCAAGGGGGTTGCGAGGAACTGTAAGTATAAATAGGACACTCGAACCGCCAAACGTCAACCGGTCCTGGCGCTCCGTGGCGCTGGATCGTGTTGCTTCGAGTGGAGATGCCGCCAGCCAATCACGTTGCTTCGATTGGAATAGCGGCAGCCAATCACGTGCAAGCATTGAGTGGAGTCTCCTGGTAGAAAAATGCTCTACCGTTTCCGGGGCGTATTCGCCCAATACGTACACTGAGCTGAGAAGACCGCCAGGCTCTTCGGATACCGGTAGAGCCTGGAGTGGGCACTCGCTGCTTATTTCAGTATGGCCTTGATTTCAGTGACGTTTTGACAAAACTGGGTTGAGATAGTTATGTTTAACGAGAAGTTTTAAGCATTGAAACTATTATTTACAAATAGTACGTACCTATAAATTTATAATAACGGACACAAGTGTGGGAAAGTTCACAGCTTTATTGAATATAGAGGCGCAAACGTCACAGTCCTCGTTCAGCGTCCAATTAATTTTGTGCGTTAGGAGACCCAGGCTGAGTAACAAACTCCGTAAGGTTTTGTTTTCATTTGGTTTTATAATTATGTTTTTTGCATTATCGAAGCACAGTTCGGTGAAATTTGTTTTTATTTAGTTGGTCAGGTAGGTATGGCATTGACCGACCCACCTTGCCTGGAAATGCCCTATTAATGTTCATAGTTAGCATAATAAAGGTGAGACCAAGCCGTGAATATCCTCTCCGATGCACCCTCATTTTTATTACCTATATTTCACTGAGTTCAATGCAAATATATTGGAAGAAAATCATTCATATTTATGTTTCCTCTCGTTTCATAAGGCGTTCATATTTGTTTCCTTTTGTTTCATAACCATATTTAGAAAAGAATGTAATTCTTTAACAGCTAAGTCCAGGTCTTGTGCATTCTGGGCCCTGTTTCATGGGCCCTAGCAGCGCTTTTTGCGAGCTGACGTCATATGGTCACGTGGGTGACACTAGAGGACGGGTTGTGTCATCCGTGAGCTTCTTCATAGCTGCGAATGGAACAGAGTTGCTGTCGCCTTGAATGCAAATGTATCGGCAACTCTGTTCCATTCGCAGCTATGAAGGAGCTGACGGATGACACAAACCGCCCTTAGTGTCACGTGACCATATGACGTCAGCTCGTGAAAAGCGTTTGCAGCGCGTTGCTAGCGCCCGTGAAACAGGGCCTTTGTAGAAGTGTTGGCTGGTATTCTTTTGGTACATTTTTTCATCAAAATACATTTTGCATTCAGAATTGAAATTTTCATGTTTCATCTTTTGCTTTACATCATCAGTTTGGCAAGTGCAAATCAACATAGATAATATAGCTACGTCTGGGCCCTGTTTCACTGGTGATAGCAGCACGGCTGACGTCATGTCATGACGCCATACTGTTGACGTGATGGGCAGTTCTGGCGTACGAATGCCGCGACCTTGGCCACGGCATTAAGTGACGTGTGTGCTTAAAAGTAAGAGTTTACACAGTCATGATAGTATATTTATTTGTAACATATTTTTTTAATATGATGTATTTAAAAGAAGTTGGGTTTAAGGAAAATTTGGACTTAAACTTCGACCATTTAGTTGATGACGTAAAACAATATTGCGGCAATCGTGCGCCAGAATTGCCCCTTACGTCAGCAGTACGACGTCATCACATTACGTCAGCTCGCGCAATTTGATAGCAGCGTGCTGCTATCACCGGTGAAACAGGGCCCTGATCTTATATGGCTCAAAGATGTTTTAGGTATTGGTACCTATTTTGCTGTTAATGCCAACCAAAGAATCCTGGATTTTATCATACAAATTGTGTCAGGCATTACACATTAACATGTTATTTACATATTTAAACTTTGTACTGTAAAACAGGGCTGCTTTAAAACCAGGGGTATTGACAGGCCAGGGTAACTTTGATTCATGAGCACTTCTGAAAGTAACCCCACCCGGAGCTTCTTTGCTTTTGGCTTAGGTATATCTCAGGTTCCAGCTTAGGCAGTAGGCACTTATTATGTACCCTGCACTAAAGCATAGGTACCTAATTGGTTGGCATTTGAGCAAAATATCTTAAGCCATTTTAAAGTTCTGACCCAAAAGCCTTGAAATTTGTTAAAAGTCACTGTTTTATGATCAACTGTTGTTTATGAAAAGTTCATTTTGAGCAGCATATATTCATTCCACTTGGGCGCTCTGACACATTCTCAGGATTGGGGGGTTGGATCCGTAAATGCATCACTACCTATTGGTTGGCATTGCAGAAGCAAAATTATTGGGTGACTTTAACCCCTGCAACTCCTCCCCCCCCCCCATTGACAGAGCCCATGATTACGTTTTCCAGTCAGCATGTTCTTGATCTTGCAACTTGTAAATGTCTCATTTGTGTTGATTTAATTTCTTTATTAAATGCTATGTAAACAAGCAACATTTTGCAATGAAACACAACACATCAAATGCAATGAATGGTGGGTTAAGATGAAAATTACTGTAACACTAAAGCACCAGATTTTTCCAAGATTAAATTTGCTCTTTTCCATGTTTTTCAATACTTGGGATCCCAAAAATAATGTTAATAAGTGCAGCAAACGACATGTGCATGTATCCGAGTAATGGATCTATGATCTCAGTGGATGTCGAAGCAAAGTACAGGTTGGGATCTATGATCCCACCGGATCCGGTGTGAAAAATACATCTTGAATCTATGACATATGATCTGACGATAAATTAAGAACATGGATCTATGATCTGAGTGGATCCCACCATGTACCACATTTGAAACCATGTTTTAATGGGTTTCTATGCCAATAAGTGACACAAAACTGTGGATTATGACGTGCGATCACATAAAATCACTAAAACAGAACGTTTGTGAGTTGAAACTTGAAACAAGTTTTTTATATGTTTTAATAAAAAAAAATAAGTGAGGATCTATGATCTCACTGGATCTCAAGCAAAAAATGAGACTCGGATCTGTGATCCCCATGGATCTCTCGATAAATTACAGAGTTGGATCTATGGTCCCGACGGATCCGAGATCAGTATTCGGGGATCAGATCCCAGATCCATTTTCTCGGATCCATGCACATGTCTGGCAGCAAATAGGTATCATTATAATTCATTGAAGTGAAGTTACCTGACCTTGCCTAGCAAATCTGAGTAAGCTCAGCCTAATCCAACCTAACCTAACTTAACCAAACTTACCCTGACCAAGCCTGACAACCCAACCCTACACCCCCCAAACCTAACACCTCACCTACCTTTGCATAAGCCCAGGATGGGTTGGGTCTGATGAGTTAGGGTTGGGGACCTCCCCTCAATGGATTATCATGATACTCCTTGCACTAATGAGTATCATTCTTGGATTCAGGATATTGAAAAACATCCGATCAGATCAGATTTTTCTCGGGGTGTTGGCTTTGCAACGCCACCCCTTCCGTATTATCTTCGTCTGATATTCTATCGATTCTTGTGATCTTCCTCTTTGGCGTTCATTTGCTATTTATATCTCCATAATTGATATAAGTTGTTCTTTTTTCCTCCATTGACTGGTAGCAGTCATTTTCAAAAATGACTGCCTGGAAAGCTTCATGAAAGAAACATGGAAAGCTTCAAAGCAGCGATATTTACCCTTTGAAAACCATGTGGACATCAGCTTCAGTCATACAAAAATAACCTTAAATTAATCCGCGCCAGGCCGGGGTTGGGTGTTACCCTCTTGCGGTTTTTCGCAGATATATCGAAAACGGCGGCGCTGCGCCGCCATTTTTGGTACACCTGTTCATGCATCTTTTCCGCACATGTGAAAATTTCAGACCCAGGTAACTCAAGCACCTCAGAAAAGTTAGAATCCTCGTCATATCTGTAACGACCAAACGATCACCTTGAAACTTTCAGCGATTGATAATAGTAACAGTGTATACAAAATGCATATCTCGGAATTTTGATATTGGTGACCTAAGGTCAGGCCAATTTTGCGACCTCTCCATTTCAGGTAATTAATGGGAGATAATTGAAAGGCGCCTTTTTTGGACGAACGTCATTCCAAACATTCTCAAACATCGTGTTACCGGTAAACTCGACAAGCTGAACCGAAAAATGGCACCTGTGACCCCTCCTTTTGACCCAGAGGTCATATCAGGTCATATCAGGCCCCCAGGAGTTTTCTCTGACAATAACTTTTGATAGAGACAGCTAGAGCGATGAGAACACCTCAGATGTGTTAAGCTCGACGATACGGATCGACTGATATGCAACATGACCTTTTCCGGTCAGGCCATGACTTTGACCTGAGGTCACATTTCAAATGACCTTACAAGGTTAAATTATAATTCTTTCGACGCGTCTCGACGAGGGGAACACGATGCGCTGGCAAATTAAATGTCGTCTTTTCCCTGAGTCAAAAGTTATTGCAGAAAAATGTTTTTCATAAAACCGCCATTTTTGGAGTTCTTGCCCTCTGGAGGCTAAACCGTTGACCTGAGGTCAAATCTGAGGACATTATTGCGAAATCGCGTTAAAGAGCTATCGAATGCGCTTTTCCGAGGTCAAATCTGGGGACATTATGGCAAAATAGCATTAAAAGAGCTATCGAATGCGCTTTTCCGCGCCGCTGTAGCTCTATCGGTTCCCAAGTTAGCCGCTGGCAGTTTCCAAAATTGTTGAAATGGACAAAATGTTACCTTTGATGGCCTCTGGCGACCTGGGCCCTGTTTCGCCGGTGACGTAATGGTTTCGCGCGAGCTGACGTAATGTGATGAGTCACACTACTGACGTTTCGTGTAATCCGTGAGCTGCGTTTGGAACAGAGTTGCTGTCTCGTTGAATGCGTTTGATAACATTTGTCTGATCGCACGGCCGTAAAGATGTTAGCAGCAATATTTGATGACATCACACAGATTGACGGCGTCATGGTTTGTTGATGTTTCCATGGAAACCCAATTTGACACGTGTGATAGCAGCGTGCTGCTATCACCGGTGAAACAGGGCCCCGAGCTTTGACCTGATCTAAAAATGACCGAAGTGTTATTTTTGGCGTTCTTTCGAATGCCGCTTACTGCGTCTCGCTACGTGGCCCAGGAGCCGAGACGGGGGGGGGGGTTCAGAGTTCAGACCCCCCCTCCCGGCCCGGCGTGGAAGTCGCGGAGCACCGGCCCGGCGCGGGTTAATTGACAGAATATGAAAGCTACCCATGCCGTGTTGCAGCTACTGTGCACCATTAATTGTATTGCTTAGGATAAATGCGTTGGGTATACAGTGGAATCCGACAAAATCGACGGCGCCCGGGCTTCGAGCGAATGGCCGGTACCTTAAGTGAGTTTGCCTGCCGTGTTCTGCGACCGTGGAAGCTGTCCGAAGTCGCTGTTAGCTGCACTGTCGCATAATCTAACTAGCATTCAACGCACCCACCCGCGCACGAATGTGTGATACCTACCTGGAAGACACACAGGTCAAGTTTTTGGCATGCCTGAATAGCGTGAACCTTAGGTGCGAGGACGAAGGGACTACGATGCCTCACCCGGACGAAGTACGCCTGCATTATACACTGGTATATTTATGTTTAACGACCAAACAAACAAACGAAGGAAGGGAATCGTAAACCTAAGTATCAAAGGAACAGGCAAACATTCACGAACAAAAACGCCAAACCCTGAAACAGTGTCAGGCGGTTTTAACTCGCTATTATCGTCGTTGTTCTACGCCACACAAACACCATGACGGCATCCGAAGTCAGATCTGGTTTATTTTTCTCCCCATCGACGGCGGCGGGGCGCCGAAAGGTGGCGCCAGCGGCGATCATGGGGGGGGGGGGGCGCAGCGCCTGAGCTGCGGCCGGAGAGAGCGGCCCTGAAGCAGTTCCGCCGGTGTCTGGCGTTGGACTTGCCAGGCATACAGGACACAAAACATAGACAAGACATACATACATAGGTACAAGACATACTTCTCACTTGAACTTTGCCAACCACTGATCGTATGTTAGATCAGGGTTGGCAACGGGACAGAAAACCTTGTTTCGGCTTGGGCCGCCCTTCCCCCGTCTGTGCCCCGTGTCCGCCGTCAGAGCGCCTTTGCACTGGCCGCAGGTGTTGGTGGGCTGCCGGCGCGTGTAGGGCCTCTTGGCGGCGGTGTCGTGGCCGGTGTCCTCGGCCGGGCGACGGCGGGTCTGCGCCTGTCCGACCGTGTCGGCAGGCAGGACGAAGTGGTGCGGTGGGCGGCGGCAGTCCACCCGCACCACCTGCACCTGCATCAGCCGCGGCGCCGGTGCTGGCAGGGCGACTGCGGCGATCGGACGGGCTGGCGGCAGCTGCACGCCCTGGAGAAGAGCTCTCCGCTCCGTCTCCTTCTGGTGCTCGTTGAACCTGGCGGCGAAACAAAAACAAAATTGAGGGGTTTACTTTATACTGTTGATTGAAATGTTCGTTGGGGTCCTTGTATTCCAGAGCTCCTCTTTTGACGCTCCGATCTCTCAGGATGTCGACTTGCATCCCACCGCCTCATCCCAACTCGGTTCAGCGCATTTAGGGACAGAGTCTGGATGTATCCCGTCAGCATTGGCGTCCTCAGTAGGAAGACCATGCGGTAGATGCGCGCCGGTTTCCCAGTGCGAACAATTTTAATTTTCTGATACTCAGAAGTATTGTGAAACGTAATTGTTACAACACTGAATGCGTGTATTGTTCTGGCTTTAACACTCGCTGATAAATTTAGCAAAATCAGGTAATGAACGGGTCCGCCCCCCCCCCGCCCCCCCCCCCCCAGCAGTAAAGCCGCACACGGGCGAATATGATGGTAGTATTTTTATAACATATCTTACACCATTATTGATGAGAGGATGGACACTGGACATTCTATCAAGTCTCTGCATCTGCAGGATCGAGCGAACATATAACTCACCAGGACGTGAGCGTGTGCTGGTTCAGAGCCGCCAGGTTGACTCCAGTCCGCTGGGTGATTGCGGGACATTTGAGGAGAATGTCCCGCAGGCTGGAGTGGTGGGCCAGGATCTGCGCCCAGCGCGACTGGACCGACCCTCCGCTGCGCCTGGGGTTTCGGTACCGCTCGCAGAGCAGGCGGACGACCGTCTCAGCGAGCCGGTTCAAGTCGGGTCGTTGCGCGGGAACCGCTCCTCGCTTGAGTGAGACTCTGTCAAATAGAAATCCATCATTAAGTTCACTTTCACATGTGTTCTACGAAATTCTACGGAGCACACGTTGGACATACCTTCCAAATTGAAGGTCTCTGGCAAGCAGTATGCAAGTTGTGTTTCGTGAAAATCAATAATTAAATTATGTGATGACGTGGACGCGTTTCGTATTTCTTTTTCATCACATCAGCATGTCCAGGTTGTGACTAACATGCGTACAAAATCCTACCAGCATGGACAATATCTCACTTTTATTGCCTTTTAATAAATATGACATAATTTAATAGTTCCAATAATATGCGTGCAAACCCCAATTATTCTGCCCGATGGTGTTTCATTTGAGAACAACGCTTACAATGATAGTCCTATTTTAAAATGCGGGATCCTTACCTCCGTGCGCTGTCCACGCCCGGCACGACACCAGACAGCCGACTGGTCTTCGGCTGTTTAAACCGGCCGGTCGTCAGCCGGTGCTGGTACCGCGGGGAGGCCGCCACCTTGGCTCTGTCGCCGGCGGAGAGCTGGTGCCACAGGTGGACGATGGACTCGGCCTCTTCGTCGGCGACATACCCCCGCGAGCAGTCTAGGCCGACGAGCACCTGCGCCAGGCGGTGGCACTCGGCGTACCCCGGCTGGTGGTCGGGGCCGGTCACGTCCTTAAAACATACATGGAAAACGAGGGTGTCTGACAAGAGCATGTCACCTTCATGAACACATCAGAACATGCATTTTGCGCACTTACAGTTAAAGCAATTTGATTGTGAGACAAGTTACAACATACCTGGCGAGCCGGGTCGGGGTTCCCGAAACTTGAGGTGGTGGCGGAGCCAGCGACGGTGGGTGGCGCGGTGGCTGTGCCCGGGACGCCGGCAGGGACCGGGCCAGGGGCTCCGGCGGTAGTCGGAGGAGCCGACAGCAGCTGAACGCCGTGCTGAGAACAGACGATTTATCCTTTTATAGCAGACTGGTGTGACCGGGCCGGGTGCATTTACACTCGTGTCAGCCGAGATACCTAATTTCATAATTAAGAAGAAAAAAAGATCCCGAGTGAAACAGAAAGGTCGAAGCAACTCGAAGCAGCCGCACCTCCGGAAGACCCTCGGCTGCCCAGTCTGGCGTCAGTGGGATGGCGGGCGACTGAGCGGCGGCCACTACTGCACCAGGCCGGGTGAGCTGCGTCCCTCCAGGTCCGGCTGTGCGTCAGCTGGTGACCAGCTGGCAGCGTCGACGGCAGGAGGAGCCGGTGGAGGCTGGTTACCATGCTGAAAGTAGAACGGGCGAATTTAGCGCTCAGGGTGATTGGCATGATTAATATGTGCTTGCGCCCGGTGTATAGCTAACTGATGGACCATTCCGTTTGAGGTGGAACACACGGGACTATGTAAGCGAGCAATTAGCTGTCTGAATTAACGCTGATTTGCATATCGCTACTGGAAGTGTAACTATGGAAACTTTTGAGGTCGCAGGTGATCACTTCCAATCCTGGGGAGCTTAATGGTTTTATTTGATTGGACTCAAAACGGTCTGAATGACTGAGAAGTCCCGTCCTTAGATCAAACGAGGCTGACTACCTACCCGTGAGAGGTTGTGAGCTCTAGCGGCGGCGGGCCACGAGGCTGCAGCTGCGGCGGCTGCGGCTGCAGCGGGCCCCGGAGCAGCAGCTGTGGCGGCTGCAGCAGCAGCGGGCCCCCGAGCCGCAGCGGCAGCGGGCCCCGGAGCTGCAGCGGCAGCAGGCCGCGGGGCTGCAGCGGCAGCAGGCCGCGGGGCTGCAGCGGCAGCAGGCCGCGGGCTGCAGCGGCAGCAGGCCGCGGGGCTGCAGCGGCAGCGGAGCCCGGTCCTGAAGGTGCAGCTGCGGCGGCTGCAGCAGCAGCGGGCCCCGGAGCTGCAGCGGCGGCCGGGCCCGGAGCTCCAGCGACGGCGGCTGCGGCTGCAGCGGCGGCGGAGCCCGGAGCTGCAGCGGCGGCGGGACTCTGAGGTCCGGCGGCGGGATTCTGAGGCCCAGCGTCGGCGGGACTCTGAGGCCCAGCGTCGGCGGAGCTGGGGACTCGGGCGGTAGCGGGTCCCTGAGGTCCGGCGGCGGCGAGGCTGGGGACTCCGACGGGAGCGGCCGGGAGAGGCGTCTGAAGCTGAAACACAAGCGATGTAGTCATGAGCTCAGTATGTTTCGCGATCCTAAGTTACCTGTACACCTATGAAATAAGTTATGCTTGCTTCATTTGGGATGCAGAAAGTAATAGGGTAAATAACATCCATCAAAGGGTGCAGTATATCGCAAAATTGAAGTAGTTGCATTTTTAGCTTTAATTTTTAATCATATTGTTATGTTTTGGGTAGTGGGTGTGTCGATAGTCGCAGATTCGCGTTAGACAAAGATAAAAAGTGGCGCGAGCATGCCAAAACACTAGCCCTGCAGTTGGTTTTGCGTAAAAATGCGATTTGACGAGGCTCGGGCAGGTCGAAGTTACAGCGAAAAATCGCAGTGGACGGTGCTGTCACCTACATTGCCAATAACGGGCACTATCATATATGTGATAATTGGGGTTTTCAAATGAGAAATGACTTCTATTTTTGTTCAAACTGCTTGAGAAGAAATAAAACAATTCGGAAACATACATTTTTCCCAAATATCGCGTTCCATTTTTTCTTGTTGAGTTGTTAGGAAAGTGGTAAATTTCAAGGTTGACGGCTAAAAAACGAAACAGGAGGAACAGAGCAGGAATCACCAAGACGTGTGCCGCGCCGATGTTGTAGCCTGTAGATAAGGGTGAGCAACAGAACCAGCATACCTAACGATTTTGATTAGTGATAGGTATTTTTCTAAATGAAAGACTATTAGTTAACTCAGGCAAGCCTTCTAATATAGGTATCAACAGGGTTGCGGTAAAAGGTACAATCGATGGCACAATACAATTATTCTGAGTTGGGAAACAACACTCTTCAGATACCTACCATCAACAACCTCACTATCTCCTATATGGGAGCTATATCATCTGATTCCAGCGCCCTGAAAACAAACGGTTATCACCAAAAATCTCTGTATTAGCGCCTACCGACATATGCTGAATGACGCTATCAATACCCGACATTTGTAAAGGTGATTCGCCAATCGCCACACAGACCGCCGCGTCTGAGGGGTTGAATCAGTGAGCCAGATTGCCAGCGACTCACCGCTGAACTACCGGGCATAACAAAACGGACGATGCGACATGACTCAGAGATCATCACAGACGCAACGACAAATGTAACCGAAGGTCATCTGATCTCGTGCGGAACCCTCGTTCAGATACGTAATATCGCTATCTGCCACCTCGCGGTTCCCTTGTCAAGCCGAACTCATAGGCGACGGAACGGGGAGGGCACCGCGGCACCGTGCCCCCTTTGATTTTGGCATTTTAACATTAGCCCTATGGGCGTTGCATAGAAAGAATATGGGACCAAAAGTCGGCAGTGCCCCCCTTAATTGAAGGTATTCCGCCGCTACTGGCCGAACTGATGACACGCAATGGCCAGTCAGTCACAGCTCAGCTTCCTGCGGAACAGGAAGACACATTCAGTGAGAGTCGGTGGTCATTCACTGTGTCAATATTATTGACACGGTGACTAAAGAACGGTTATATTGCGCCAATAATGTTGCCAGTAGCAGCACCACCAATCTTTTGAACTAAAATCACTTGCTATCGGTGAAAAGAAACCTTCTAGCTATTTTCAAGCAATACGCGAAATAGAGGGAATTAGAAAACCGAAAACCCAAATATTAGCACTAGATTACATCGATCTTAAATTTTGGCCAACATTTTTAAAGCATACATCAGAGGAGCTGTTGGCGGCTTACCGTCGCGTCTGTGATGATCTCTGAGTCATGTCGCATCGTCCGTTTTGTTATGCCCGGTAGTTCAGCGGTGAGTCGCTGGCAATCTGGCTCACTGATTCAACCCCTCAGACGCCGGCGGTCTGTGTGGCGAATCACCTTTTACAAATGTCGGGTATTGATAGCGTCATTCAGCATATATCGGTAGGCGCTAATACAGAGATATTTGGTGATAACCTGTTTGTTTTCAGGGCGCTGGAATCAGATGATATAGCTCCCATATAGGATAGTGAGGTTGTTGATGGTAGGTATCTGAAGAGTGTTGTTTCCCAACTCAGAATAATTGTAATGTGCCATCGATTGTACCTTTTACCCGCAACCCTGTCGATACCTATATTAGAGGGCTTGCCTGAGTTACTAATAGTCTTTCATTTAGAGAAAAATATCTATCACTAATCAAAATCGTTAGGGATGCTGGTTCTGTTGCTCACCCCTTATCTACAGGCTACAGCATCGGCGCGGCACACGTCTTCGTGATTCCTGCTCTGTTCCTCCTGCTTCGTTTTTTAGCCGTCAACCTTGAAATTTACCACTTTCCTAACAACTCAACAGGAAAAAATGGAACGCGATATTTGGGAAAAATGTATGTTTCCGAATTGTTTCATTTCTTCTCAAGCAGTTTGAACAAAAATAGAAGTCATTTCTCATTTGAAACTACCCCAATTATCACGATATGATAGTGTCGGTTATTGGCAATGTAGGTGGCAGCACCGTCGACTGCGACTTTTTCGCTGTAACTTCGACCCGCACGAGCCTCGTCAAATCGCACTATTACGCAAAACCAACTGCAGGGCTAGTGTTTTGGCATGCTCGCGCCACTTTATATCTTTGTCTAACGCGAATCTGTGAGAAAAACCCTCTGTCGACACACCCTCCGGTACTCTTTAATTAACTTACTGGCATTTCGAGACCATCGTACGCGTCGGTCACGAAGATGTCCTCGACGTCCTCGAATCCCTCGTCGAGGTCATCGCCAACATCGTCATCCTCGCCGTGCTGCGTGTCGGGGTCACCCACCCTGTACTCGTCGAGCCTACGGCCCGTCTGCCCGTACAGGTAGGCGACCCCGACGAGCTCACCTGAATGTAAACAGAAGCATGTGTGAAACATTATGTTTCACGACTTGTGACAACTTGACACGTCTTGGTACGTAAGTTCGTTTTATGTATATAGGTATTAGGTAGTAAATAATTTTAGCTGATCGGTTGTCGCGGCAGCGGCAACCTTTTCATAAGTTCAAATTCAATGGAGGCTAGCGGACTTAACTGCATTCGATCATTGGCATTAGTTGGCAGTTTTTGTACTGTATAATTTGTGTGACTGTAGCATGCGACTTTTTACCCGTGTATCGAAGAGGCTCGCTTCTGGTGACTAGGTCCCTCTTGAGCACCCTCTGCGACAGGTCGTTGACGGCTGCCCGTATCCGGCCGTCGTAGCACCCTGTACTCGTCCGTAGCACCGGACCTCGCGGGCGCTGTCCTGTCCGATCGCCGCCAGGTGACGATCCGCGTTCCATCTAACCAGACCCTCGATCAGGAAGGCCTGGAAGTGGAGGTCGCTGGCTGTAGTCCCTGGAAAGAATAGAATTAAGTATTAATGAGATACAGGATAAAGTGCTTAGCTTAACCCTATTCCAGAAGGCTTTCGACCACCCTTCAGGTTTCTATTGTGTCATTGCCAAGCGATATTAGATAACCAGTATAACGCCTTTTGGGGCGACTAACGGAGCGAGCGAGAGGGTGAGCCTTGCACGTGCGAAATTGCGAGGGGGTACCTCCAACTGAGTTGTGCACGGCACCCTACTAACCGGTCTCTAGCGATGTGCCAAATTTGAGCACAATCGGCCCAGCCGTTCTCGAGATCTGGAAGCGGCACCCTGCACGTGCGCACGTGCAAAATGGGTCCCAACTGACTTTTGCACGGCACCCTACTAACCGGTCCCTAACCACGTACCAAATTTGAGCGCCATCGGTCCAGCCATTCTCGAGATCTGGAATCGACCCCTGCACGTGCGCACGTGCAGCAGCACCCCAACTCTGGCACATGGATATGCATTGCATAGTGGGTGCCTACCTACATGCCAACTTTTAGCGCAATCGGCCGAGTAGTTACCGAGATACCGTAGTTTCGTGCAACTTTGGCCACCAAGGGCAACTTTGGCCCATGCCTGGAAAAGGGGTGACCTCTATCCAGACCATGTTGCTTAACATTGTACATAAAAGATGACTTAATTATTGAGGCTCAACGAAAAAAGTGGGCCAAAGTTGCACGAAGCTACGGTATTGCAACTATTACAAAACTGACACCTCTTCTTTTTGCACGTGGCACCTACATAAGGGATCATCCACATGCATCTAATGACCATCTCGATTTTCGTGATTGGTTGTCTGGGATCCATGCCCATGTCTGCTTGGAAGAACGAATGAAGCTACCCTACAAAAATTACCGCAGGTAATCGGTCAAGTGGTTGCTGAGATATAAGCCTCGCAAAAGCGTCCGCACGGCCGGCCGGCCGGCCGCTCATACCCAGAAATTTCCGTTAACCCGCGCCCTGCTGGGGGTCTTGGATTTCCACGCCCTGCTGGGGGGGGGGGTTTTGAACACCCCCCCTTGTAACTCGGCTCCTGGGCCACGTAGCGATACGCGGAAGGCGGCGTTCGAAAGAGCGTCAAAAATAATGACGAAATCACTTCGGTCAATTTTTTGGTCAGGTCAAAGGTCAGGTCACCAGAGGTCATTGAAGGCAAAATTTCGCCGATTTCCAGGTCGAATGTCGAAAATTTCCAAGAAGCCAACGCATAACTCGGGAACCAATAGAGCTACAGCGCCGCGGAAAAGCGCATTCGATAGCCCTATTAACGCCCTTTCTGAGTAATTCTCTCAGATTTGACCTAACGTCAACGGTTTTGCCTGCAGGGGGCAAAAACTGCAAAAATAGCCGATTTTTTCGAAACAGTTTTTCTGCAATAACTTTTGACCCAAGCCTTGTACGAGCTTACTTTACCGGCATCGTGTTCCTCTCGTCAAGACGCATCGAATGAACTATAACTTGACCTTGAAAGGTCAACTTGAAAATTTGACCTCAGGTCAAGGTCATGACCTGACCGGAAAGGGTCATGTTGCATATCAGTCGATCCGTATCGTCGAGCTGAACACATCTAAGGCGTTTTCATCGCTCTAGCATGCCTCTATCAAAAGTTATTTGCGAAAAACTGTTAGATACCATTCGTGACCTAAGATGACCTCAGGGCATAAACAAGGGTCACGGACACCATTTCAAGTTCAGTGTGTCTAAACCACTTGTAATTCGGTGTTTGGGAGTGTTTATAATGTCTTTCATCCAAAAGAGGCGCATTTCAATTTTCTCCCATTGACTTATAATGGGGAGGTCGCAAAATTGACCTGACCTTAGGTCATCGATATCAAAATTCTGAGATATACATTTTGTACATGCTATTGCTCTTAGCAATCGCTGAAAGTTTCAAAGCGATCGGTCACTCGGTGTAGCTATGACAGACATTGAAAGTTTTTATGAGGTGAGGTCACTTCAAGTGACCTGGTGACCTGACCTTGAATGACCTTGGTCTGAAATTTTCACAACATGTGTAGAATTGATGTATGATAAGGTGTACCAAAACGGCGGCGCTCCGCGCCGCCGTTTTTGAGATATTCGCGAAAAACCACAAGGGGGGGTGTTCAAACACCCCCCCCAGCAGGGCGCGGGTTAATCTACGAAAGACTCCGCTCGCTTCGCTCGCTCCGTAATCATGTTTTGGCAGCAAAGAACAAGAAATGCCCACACAATGAGGTACTCTAAGAGCAAACAACACAAGTGAACAGCCAGTTTGGGTGGCAATGACATATTATGTTTATAATTACCTGGCCTGCAGCATGCCGCTCAAGCTGCAGATTGGGCTGGATGTTGGGGCGCTGCCTCAGCTCCGCCAGACGGCCGGACTCAACATATTGCCGGATCCGCTGGATCCCAGCCCTGTCATGGGGGTCCTAGAGCATGGGTTGGATGCAGCTCAGCGTACTGAATTCAGCCACCATCATGACCATCATGCTCTAAGTATGCAGCCCAAGCAAAGCATTTGCAAAACCAAGGAAAGAAAAATGTCATGAAAAGCAGTGAGGTTAACAATAAATGGGATAAAACAAACTTGTGAACATAAGTTAACCAGCCACCACACCATTGCACTGTTGTGTTAGCTCGCAAGCACCAGCACTAAGCCTGGGGACCTGTGCAACAACACAGCACACCTTTACAAGTAATAGGTACAACTCTCAGCCCAGGACACCACAGATGTACTCAAAATACTATACTGTGCTATTGTCCAGGCCATCCACCACCCCCCCAAAAAAAAACAGCAAAACAGCGACATGTCCAACACCAAGCAAATAAATTAGTCAGAAATAGTGATTAGAAGCATCAAATAGGACCACCCAGTCACAGCTGACATTCTAGTGAGGATGCAAGAATGGTGCATGATGACTGGGGCTCTGAAAAAGAATGAGACCTAGTTACTCACTGAAAAATGGCGCACTGTTATGGTATGCGTATTGAGCAGGATTCTCTTTAAAAAAAAATAATTTAATCAAACACATGTGAACATGAGTTCATAAGGGCTTTCTCATACTCTATGGTGTATGTTTGCATCCCTGTACCAAAAAGAAGTCATTGAAAACCACAAGTATATGGGAACTAGGCATCAAGAAGTTCTCCATGAATTGTCTGCTCTTACACTGTGCAGTCCACAGTTACAGCCTCTTTGCAGCGCAGCCACCCCCCGGAAGGTCAGCGGCTGCTGGCTGCCGCACTGCCGTGGGCATCTTTGGACCTGAAACACAAATACAATCATATATTATGTTAATGATAATACATACCAATTACCATAGACCTCTGTATACCTCAACCTCTGACTAAGAAGACTAAGATAAGAGACTAAGAAAATGTAGATTTTTCGGAAAGTTAACAATTGATGGTAGGCGATCTAAGCTCAATATGTCTCCAACTCACCTTGTTATACAGGTCAAGGACAGCCCTTGGCTGTCTCGGACCGGGCCTGCTGCCCATGTCCGGCGTCCAGCATTTTTGTTGTGCGAATTTTTTCAGGCGCTGGGCCCAGATGGCTTGTCCAAAGGCTTTGTGACTTTTCCCCATTGTTTTCTGTCAACAGTAGTACGGTGCTTCAGAGGGCCTTCATATAAAATTTCCATGTTTTAGGCGTCTACTGTTTTAAGCTTAAACAGTGTAAATTATTTCAAAAATGCTTGCTCTCAATAAAATTAAATCATATTTAATAAACCTATGAACAATGCATTTATTTTGACTAAAATGTAATGTCCTTTTATTTGACATCCTCCATGCAAACCTTATCATTATGACAACTCCGGTGATACCAATCAAATACGTTGGAACCTCTAACAATGTCGATGCAAAACTGAAACAGAAATCGATACTGACAAGGTACCTTCTTCTCTACCCACTTTCAAGACTTTCAACATAAATATATTCAGCATAACACTACCCATGCATGCCATTAATGTAAAAAAATTAATGACCTACACTTGGCGCTGTATGTTCGCCAGACTCACGTGCTTTGTCCAACGTTTGTTTACATTTGCTGGCTCCGGGATGCATTCTACCGATACGACTGAATCTTGCTTCAGTAGAGCATACGCATCTCCGGCATCTCCAGCACCTTTTGCTAAAGCTCATAAGAGGTCCACTGCTCCACCAGACTCGGAACCGGTAGATCATCGATCGGTTCCGCCCTCTGATTGGTCGAGGGAGAGACTGCAACGCCCATTCCCCAGCATAGGAAACTATCATCAAAGACTTCAATTGATACCTCCCGATCACAAGAAAGGAACCATAGCTTTCGCGTGGAATATCTCCCGACGGAATTAAGGGAGGGCGACGATATTGACTCAGTGAGCTCTTGGATGCTCGTAGTTGAGAATGAGTGCCTTACATTGGGCCGAAATGTATTACAAAATCTTTTCTTTCTCCTTCCCTCTTCCCGTTTGGAGTTCCCCCGCTGGCAACACTAATGTTCCCCAGCTTCTGTGGCGCTTGGCGCTGGATCGTGTTGCTTCGAGTGGAGATGCCGCCAGCCAATCACGTTGCTTCGATTGGAATAGCGGCAGCCAATCACGTGCAAGCATTGAGTGGAGTCTCCTGGTAGAAAAATGCTCTACCGTTTCCGGGGCGTATTCGCCCAATACGTACACTGAGCTGAGAAGACCGCCAGGCTCTTCGGATACCGGTAGAGCCTGGAGTGGGCACTCGCTGCTTATTTCAGTATGGCCTTGATTTCAGTGACGTTTTGACAAAACTGGGTTGAGATAGTTATGTTTAACGAGAAGTTTTAAGCATTGAAACTATTATTTACAAATAGTACGTACCTATAAATTTATAATAACGGACACAAGTGTGGGAAAGTTCACAGCTTTATTGAATATAGAGGCGCAAACGTCACAGTCCTCGTTCAGCGTCCAATTAATTTTGTGCGTTAGGAGACCCAAGGCTGAGTAACAAACTCCGTAAGGTTTTGTTTTCATTTGGTTTTATAATTATGTTTTTTGCATTATCGAAGCACAGTTCGGTGAAATTCGTTTTTATTTAGTTGGTCAGGTAGGTATGGCATTGACCGACCCACCTTGCCTGGAAATGCCCTATTAATGTTCATAGTTAGCATAATAAAGGTGAGACCAAGCCGTGAATATCCTCTCCGATGCACCCTCATTTTTATTACCTATATTTCACTGAGTTCAATGCAAATATATTGGAAGAAAATCGTTCATATTTATGTTTCCTCTCGTTTCATAAGGCGTTCATATTTGTTTCCTTTTGTTTCATAACAATAAGGTATTACACAGTGGCTATTTATTTAGAAAAGAATGTAATTCTTTAACAGCTAAGTCCAGGTCTTGTGCATTCTGGGCCCTGTTTCATGGGCCCTAGCAGCGCTTTTTGCGAGCTGACATATGGTCACGTGGGTGACACTAGAGGACGGGTTGTGTCATCCGTGAGCTTCTTCATAGCTGCGAATGGAACAGAGTTGCTGTCGCCTTGAATGCAAATGTATCGGCAACTCTGTTCCATTCGCAGCTATGAAGGAGCTGACGGATGACACAAACCGCCCTTAGTGTCACGTGACCATATGACGTCAGCTCGTGAAAAGCTTTTGCAGCGCGTTGCTAGTGCCCGTGAAACAGGGCCTTTGTAGAAGTGTTGGCTGGTATTCTTATTGGTACATTTTTTCATCAAAATACATTTTGCATTCAGAATTGAAATTTTCATGTTTCATCTTTTGCTTTACATCATCAGTTTGGCAAGTGCAAATCAACATAGATAATATAGCTACGTCTGGGCCCTGTTTCACTGGTGATAGCAGCACGGCTGACGTCATGTCATGACGCCATACTGTTGACGTGATGGGCAGTTCTGGCGTACGAATGCCGCGACCTTGGCCACGGCATTAAGTGACGTGTGTGCTTAAAAGTAAGAGTTTACACAGTCATGATAGTATATTTATTTGTAACATATATTTTTTAATATGATGTATTTAAAAGAAGTTGGGTTTAAGGAAAATTTGGACTTAAACTTCGACCATTTAGTTGATGACGTAAAACAATATTGCGGCAATCGTGCGCCAGAATTGCCCCTTACGTCAGCAGTACGACGTCATCACATTACGTCAGCTCGCGCAATTTGATAGCAGCGTGCTGCTATCACCGGTGAAACAGGGCCCTGATCTTATATGGCTCAAAGATGTTTATAGGTATTGGTACCTATTTTGCTGTTAATGCCAACCAAAGAAATCCTGGATTTTATCATACAAATTGTGTCAGGCATTACACATTAACATGTTATTTACATATTTAAACTTTGTACTGTAAAACAGGGCTGCTTTAAAACCAGGGGTATTGACAGGCCAGGGTAACTTTGATTCATGAGCACTTCTGAAAGTAACCCCACCCGGAGCTTCTTTGCTTTTGGCTTAGGTATATCTCAGGTTCCAGCTTAGGCAGTAGGCACTTATTATGTACCCTGCACTAAAGCATAGGTACCTAATTGGTTGGCATTTGAGCAAAATATCTTAAGCCATTTTAAAGTTCTGACCCAAAAGCCTTGAAATTTGTTAAAAGTCACTGTTTTATGATCAACTGTTGTTTATGAAAAGTTCATTTTGAGCAGCATATATTCATTCCACTTGGGCGCTCTGACACATTCTCAGGATTGGGGGGTTGGATCCGTAAATGCATCACTACCTATTGGTTGGCATTGCAGAAGCAAAATTATTGGGTGGCTTTAACCCCTGCAACTCCTCCCCCCCCATTGACAGAGCCCATGATTACGTTTTCCAGTCAGCATGTTCTTGGTCTTGCAACTTGTAAATGTCTCATTTGTGTTGATTTAATTTCTTTATTAAATGCTATGTAAAACAAGCAAACATTTTGCAATGAAACACAACACATCAAATGCAATGAATGGTGGGGTTAAGATGAAAATTACTGTAACACTAAAGCACCAGATTTTTCCAAGATTAAATTTGCTCTTTTCCATGTTTTTCAATACTTGGGATCCCAAAAATAATGTTAATAAGTGCAGCAAACAGACATGTGCATGTATCCGAGTAATGGATCTATGATCTCAGTGGATGTCGAAGCAAAGTACAGGTTGGGATCTATGATCCCACCGGATTTGGTGTGAAAAATACATCTTGAATCTATGACATATGATCTGACGATAAATTAAGAACATGGATCTATGATCTGAGTGGATCCCACCATGTACCACATTTGAAACCATGTTTTAATGGGTTTCTATGCCAATAAGTGACACAAAACTGTGGATTATGACGTGCGATCACATAAAATCACTAAAACAGAACGTTTGTGAGTTGAAACTTGAAACAAGTTTTTTATATATGTTTTAACAAAAAAATAAGTGAGGATCTATGATCTCACTGGATCTCAAGCAAAAAATGAGACTCGGATCTGTGATCCCCATGGATCTCTCGATAAATTACAGAGCTGGATCTATGGTCCCGACGGATCCGAGATCAGTATTCGGGGGATCAGATCCCAGATCCATTTTCTCGGATCCATGCACATGTCTGGCAGCAAATAGGTATCATTATAAATTATAATTCATTGAAGTGAAGTTACCTGACCTTGCCTAGCAAATCTGAGTAAGCTCAGCCTAATCCAACCTAACCTAACTTAACCAAACTTACCCTGACCAAGCCTGACAACCCAACCCTACACCCACCCAAAACCTAACACCTCACCTACCTTTGCATAAGCCCAGGATGGGTTGGGTCTGATGAGTTAGGGTTGGGTGACCTCCCCTCAATGGATTATCATGATACTCCTTGCACTAATGAGTATCATTCTTGGATTCAGGATATTGAAAAACATCAGATCAGATCAGATTTTTCTCGGGGTGTTGGCTTTGCAACGCCACCCCTTCCGTGTTATCTTCGTCTGATATTCTATCGATTCTTGTGATCTTCCTCTTTGGCGTTCATTTGCTATTTCTATATCTCCATAATTGATATAAGTTGTTCTTTTTTTCCTCCATTGACTGGTAGCAGTCATTTTCAAAAATGACTGCCTGGAAAGCTTCATGAAAGAAACATGGAAAGCTTCAAAGCAGCGATATTTACCCTTTGAAAACCATGTGGACATCAGCTTCAGTCATACAAAAATAACCTTAAATTAATCCGCGCCGGGCCGGGGGTTGGGTGTTACCCTCTTGCGGTTTTTCGCAGATATATCGAAAACGGCGGCGCTGCGCCGCCATTTTTGATACACCTGTTCATGCATCTTTTCCGGACATGTGAAAATTTCAGACCCAGGTAACTCAAGCACCTCAGAAAAGTTAGAATCCTCGTCATATCTGTAACGACCAAACGATCACCTTGAAACTTTCAGCGATTGATAATAGTAACAGTGTATACAAAATGCATATCTCGGAATTTTGATATTGGTGACCTAAGGTCAGGCCAATTTTGCGACCTCTCCATTTCAGGTAAGTTAATGGGAGATAATTGAAAGGCGCCTTTTTTGGACGAACGTCATTCCAAACATTCTCAAACATCGTGTTACCGGTAAACTCGACAAGCTGAACCGAAAAATGGCACCTGTGACCCCTCCTTTTGACCCAGAGGTCATATCAGGTCATATCAGGCCCCCAGGAGTTTTCTCTGACAATAACTTTTGATAGAGACAGCTAGAGCGATGAGAACACCTCAGATGTGTTAAGCTCGACGATACGGATCGACTGATATGCAACATGACCTTTTCCGGTCAGGCCATGACTTTGACCTGAGGTCACATTTTCAAAATGACCTTACAAGGTTAAATTATAATTCTTTCGACGCGTCTCGACGAGGGGAACACGATGCGCTGGCAAATTAAATGTCGTCTTTTCCCTGAGTCAAAAGTTATTGCAGAAAAATGTTTTTCATAAAACCGCCATTTTTGGAGTTCTTGCCCTCTGGAGGCTAAACCGTTGACCTGAGGTCAAATCTGAGGACATTTTTGCGAAATCGCGTTAAAAGAGCTATCGAATGCGCTTTTCCGAGGTCAAATCTGGGGACATTATGGCAAAATAGCATTAAAAGAGCTATCGAATGCGCTTTTCCGCGCCGCTGTAGCTCTATCGGTTCCCAAGTTAGCCGCTGGCAGTTTCCAAAATTGTTGAAATGGACAAAATGTTACCTTTGATGGCCTCTGGCGACCTGGGCCCTGTTTCGCCGGTGACGTAATGGTTTCGCGCGAGCTGACGTAATGTGATGAGGTCACACTACTGACGTTTCGTGTAATCCGTGAGCTGCGTTTGGAACAGAGTTGCTGTCTCGTTGAATGCGTTTGATAACATTTGTCTGATCGCACGGCCGTAAAGATGTTAGCAGCAATATTTGATGACATCACACAGATTGACGGCGTCATGGTTTGTTGATGTTTCCATGAAAACCCAATTTGACACGTGTGATAGCAGCGTGCTGCTATCACCGGTGAAACAGGGCCCCGAGCTTTGACCTGATCTAAAAATGACCGAAGTGTTATTTTTGGCGTTCTTTCGAATGCCGCTTACTGCGTCTCGCTACGTGGCCCAGGAGCCGAGTTAGACGGGGGGGGGGGGGGGGGGGTTCAGAGTTCAGACCCCCCCCTCCCGGCCCGGCGTGGAAGTCGCGGAGCACCGGCCCGGCGCGGGTTAATTGACAGAATATGAAAGCTACCCATGCCGTGCTGCAGCTACTTTGCACCATTAATTGTATTGCTTAGGATAAATGCGTTGGGTATACAGTGGAATCCGACAAAATCGACGGCGCCCGGGCTTCGAGCGAATGGCCGGTGCCTTAAGTGAGTTTGCCTGCCGTGTTCTGCGACCGTGGAAGCTGTCCGAAGTCGCTGTTAGCTGCACTGTCGCATAATCTAACTAGCATTCAACGCACCCACCCGCGCACGAATGTGTGATACCTACCTGGAAGACACACAGGTCAAGTTTTTGGCATGCCTGAATAGCGTGAACCTTAGGTGCGAGGACGAAGGGACTACGATGCCTCACCCGGACGAAGTACGCCTGCATTATACACTGGTATATTTAATGTTTAACGACCAAACAAACAAACGAAGGAAGGGAATCGTAAACCTAAGTATCAAAGGAACAGGCAAACATTCACGAACAAAAACGCCAAACCCTGAAACAGTGTCAGGCGGTTTTAACTCGCTATTATCGTCGTTGTTCTACGCCACACAAACACCATGACGGCATCCGAAGTCAGATCTGGTTTATTTTTCTCCCCATCGACGGCGGCGGGGCGCCGAAAGGTGGCGCCAGCGGCGATCATGGGGGGGGGGGGGCGCAGCGCCTGAGCTGCGGCCGGAGAGAGCGGCCCTGAAGCAGTTCCGCCGGTGTCTGGCGTTGGACTTGCCAGGCATACAGGACACAAAACATAGACAAGACATACATACATAGGTACAAGACATACTTCTCACTTGAACTTTGCCAACCACTGATCGTATGTTAGATCAGGGTTGGCAACGGGACAGAAAACCTTGTTTCGGCTTCATGGGCCGCCCTTCCCCCGTCTGTGCCCCGTGTCCGCCGTCAGAGCGCCTTTGCACTGGCCGCAGGTGTTGGTGGGCTGCCGGCGCGTGTAGGGCCTCTTGGCGGCGGTGTCGTGGCCGGTGTCCTCGGCCGGGCGACGGCGGGTCTGCGCCTGTCCGACCGTGTCGGCAGGCAGGACGAAGTGGTGCGGTGGGCGGCGGCAGTCCACCCGCACCACCTGCACCTGCATCAGCCGCGGCGCCGGTGCTGGCAGGGCGACTGCGGCGATCGGACGGGCTGGCGGCAGCTGCACGCCCTGGAGAAGAGCTCTCCGCTCCGTCTCCTTCTGGTGCTCGTTGAACCTGGCGGCGAAACAAAAACAAAAATTGAGGGGTTTACTTTATACTGTTGATTGAAATGTTCGTTGGGGTCCTTGTATTCCAGAGCTCCTCTTTTGACGCTCCGATCTCTCAGGATGTCGACTTGCATCCCACCGCCTCATCCCAACTCGGTTCAGCGCATTTAGGGACAGAGTCTGGATGTATCCCGTCAGCATTGGCGTCCTCAGTAGGAAGACCATGCGGTAGATGCGCGCCGGTTTCCCAGTGCGAACAATTTTAATTTTCTGATACTCAGAAGCAGGGATGCGGAGCCGTGGAAATTTCAAACGGCTCCGGCTCCGGCTCCGGCTCCGGAGAAAAAAATCGGCTCCGGCTCCGGCTCCGGCTCCGGGTGAAATGTTATGGCGGCTCCGGCTCCGGCTCCGGCTCCGAGTAAAATGGTCCGGCTCCGGCGGCTCCGGCTCCGGCGGCTCCGGCTCCGACTCAGTACATCCCCTATGCAATCAATTAAATACGGGTGGAAGAAAAATTTGATTGGGGTGGAAAGAGACGGTGCTGGGAGTCGCAGTCCACTGCACTGGCTTCAAAACAATGGCCGTCACCTGATGACCGGTCCTCATGTTCTGGGGATGCAATAGACGTGAGGGGGGGGGGGGGGAGGAGCAGACAGGAAGTTGATTGCGTACTGTGGGATACTGGGGATATTCGGCTTTTTCATTCACTTTATGGCCCATGACGTACTATTGGTCTCAAGATAAGGGCCCAGGCGACCTGTAGTTTTGATGCGGTGAATATCCTTACCCTCGCCACAACTCGGGCCGAGTGCACCCCTCCTCCCAGCCAGCGCCACCCCCACTCGCATTGTGGCGAGGATGAGGGTATTCACCGCATCAAAACTACAGGTCGCCTGGGCACTTATATTGAGACCAATAGTACGATATGTTTTACTGCCTTGTACTGTCAAACCGAACTAGGTCAATTATTTTTTCCTCTTCAAAAAATAAAAAGGAGCCGGAGTCGCCCCCTTTTTTGGCGGCTCCGGCTCCGGCTCCGGCTCCGGGCTATATTGTTTCACGGCTCCGGCTCCGGCTCCGGCTCCGGGCAAAATATGCCGGCTCCGGCGGCTCCGGCTCCGACTCCGGCTCCGGCTCCGCATCCCTGCTCAGAAGTATTGTGAAACGTAATTGTTACAACACTGAATGCGTGTATTGTTCTGGCCGCACACGGTAGTAAAGCGAGTGAATAGTAAAGCCGCACACGGGCGAATATGATGGTAGTATTTTTATAACATATCTTACACCATTATTGATGAGAGGATGGACACTGGACATTCTATCAAGTCTCTGCATCTGCAGGATCGAGCGAACATATAACTCACCAGGACGTGAGCGTGTGCTGGTTCAGAGCCGCCAGGTTGACTCCAGTCCGCTGGGTGATTGCGGGACATTTGAGGAGAATGTCCCGCAGGCTGGAGTGGTGGGCCAGGATCTGCGCCCAGCGCGACTGGACCGACCCTCCGCTGCGCCTGGGGTTTCGGTACCGCTCGCAGAGCAGGCGGACGACCGTCTCAGCGAGCCGGTTCAAGTCGGGTCGTTGCGCGGGAACCGCTCCTCGCTTGAGTGAGACTCTGTCAAATAGAAATCCATCATTAAGTTCACTTTCACATGTGTTCTACGAAATTCTACGGAGCACACGTTGGACATACCTTCCAAATTGAAGGTCTCTGGCAAGCAGTATGCAAGTTGTGTTTCGTGAAAATCAATAATTAAATTATGTGATGACGTGGACGCGTTTCGTATTTCTTTTTCATCACATCAGCATGTCCAGGTTGTGACTAACATGCGTACAAAATCCTACCAGCATGGACAATATCTCACTTTTATTGCCTTTTAATAAATATGACATAATTTAATAGTTCCAATAATATGCGTGCAAACCCCAATTATTCTGCCCGATGGTGTTTCATTTGAGAACAACGCTTACAATGATAGTCCTATTTTAAAATGCGGGATCCTTACCTCCGTGCGCTGTCCACGCCCGGCACGACACCAGACAGCCGACTGGTCTTCGGCTGTTTAAACCGGCCGGTCGTCAGCCGGTGCTGGTACCGCGGGGAGGCCGCCACCTTGGCTCTGTCGCCGGCGGAGAGCTGGTGCCACAGGTGGACGATGGACTCGGCCTCTTCGTCGGCGACATACCCCCGCGAGCAGTCTAGGCCGACGAGCACCTGCGCCAGGCGGTGGCACTGTTGTTGTTGTTGTTGGTCTCCCCGGGTCGGCTCACGGCCGACCGTAGCCCAACGGCTCTTGGTGACTGAGGTAGCCGCGGCTCAAGGCCGCCACGGCCCCGCCGTCCCGAAGCTGCGTAGGGTCCGGTCTGATATTGCCGAGTAGGCGGAGCCTCGCGCCAGCCAAGCACGGGCACCTCAGCAGCACGTGCTCCGGCGTGTCTGGGCCCTCGCGACACACCAGGCAGCGCGCCGCCGGGCAGGCCAGATCACTGCACTGTGGGCAGTCGCGCTCGGGGCGGCGTCCGATTCTGTGAAGGTAGCTCTGCGAGCGGCTCCAGTGTCCCGCCCGCAGCTGGTGGACGTTGACCGCCTCGTCGCGAGACTCCAGGAGCACCGGCATCGGCATCCGGTCTCCCATGATGGTTTTGAAGAAGCTGTCTGGCCAGCTGCGACGCCATGCCTTGGTGGCGGAGCGGCCGACTGCCTTCACCATCGAGCGGACGTCCGTTGGGACGGCGTCTTGCGACAGGCTGGATGCCTCTTTAGCCAGCACGTCCGCTCTCTCGTTGCCGGGTATTCCGCAGTGCGCTGGGATCCACTGCATGAAGACTCGGCGTCCTCCGTCCGTGAGCGCCAGGAGCAGTCGCCATACGGCGGCGCCGAGTGCTGTCGCCTGGCTCCCAGCCCCACTCGCCAGTGTGGCGAGCGCCGCCTGCGAGTCGGCGCAGACGATGACCGGGCTCTCCGCCAGGCCGCCCTCCAGCCGCAGCAGCATCTCCAGTGCCCCGCGGATCGCGGTGGCACTCGGCGGTGGCACTCGGCGTACCCCGGCTGGTGGTCGGGGCCGGTCACGTCCTTAAAACATACATGGAAAACGAGGGTGTCTGACAAGAGCATGTCACCTTCATGAACACATCAGAACATGCATTTTGCGCACTTACAGTTAAAGCAATTTGATTGTGAGACAAGTTACAACATACCTGGCGAGCCGGGTCGGGGTTCCCGAAACTTGAGGTGGTGGCGGAGCCAGCGACGGTGGGTGGCGCGGTGGCTGTGCCCGGGACGCCGGCAGGGACCGAGCCAGGGGCTCCGGCGGTAGTCGGAGGAGCCGACAGCAGCTGAACGCCGTGCTGAGAACAGACGATTTATCCTTTTATAGCAGACTGGTGTGACCGGGCCGGGGTGCATTTACACTCGTGTCAGCCGAGGTACCTAATTTCATAATTAAGAAGAAAAAAAGATCCCGAGTGAAACAGAAAGGTCGAAGCAACTCGAAGCAGCCGCACCTCCGGAAGACCCTCGGCTGCCCAGTCTGGCGTCAGTGGGATGGCGGGCGACTGAGCGGCGGCCACTACTGCACCAGGGCCGGGTGAGCTGCGTCCCTCCAGGTCCGGCTGTGCGTCAGCTGGTGACCAGCTGGCAGCGTCGACGGCAGGAGGAGCCGGTGGAGGCTGGTTACCATGCTGAAAGTAGAACGGGCGAATTTAGCGCTCAGGGTGATTGGCATGATTAATATGTGCTTGCGCCCGGTGTATAGCTAACTGATGGACCATTCATCCGTTTGAGGTGGAACACACGGGACTATGTAAGCGAGCAATTAGCTGTCTGAATTAACGCTGATTTGCATATCGCTACTGGAAGTGTAACTATGGAAACTTTTGAGGTCGCAGGTGATCACTTCCAATCCTGGGGAGCTTAATGGTTTTATTTGATTGGACTCAAAACGGTCTGAATGACTGAGAAGTCCCGTCCTTAGATCAAACGAGGCTGACTACCTACCCGTGAGAGGTTGTGAGCTCTAGCGGCGGCGGGCCACGAGGCAGCAGCTGTGGCGGCTGCAGCAGCAGCGGGCCCCCGAGCCGCAGCGGCAGCGGGCCCCGGAGCTGCAGCGGCAGCAGGCCGCGGGGCTGCAGCGGCAGCAGGCCGCGGGGCTGCAGCGGCAGCAGGCCGCGGGGCTGCAGCGGCAGCAGGCCGCGGGGCTGCAGCGGCAGCAGGCCGCGGGGCTGCAGCGGCAGCGGTAGCGGTCCTGAAGGTGCAGCTGCGGCGGCTGCAGCAGCAGCGGGCCCCGGAGCTGCAGCGGCGGCCGGGCCCGGAGCTCCAGCGACGGCGGCTGCGGCTGCAGCGGCGGCGGAGCCCGGAGCTGCAGCGGCGGCGGGACTCTGAGGTCCGGCGGCGGGATTCTGAGGCCCAGCGTCGGCGGGACTCTGAGGCCCAGCGTCGGCGGAGCTGGGGACTCGGGCGGTAGCGGGTCCCTGAGGTCCGGCGGCGGCGAGGCTGGGGACTCCGACGGGAGCGGCCGGGAGAGGCGTCTGAAGCTGAAACACAAGCGATGTAGTCATGAGCTCAGTATGTTTCGCGATCCTAAGTTACCTGTACACCTATGAAATAAGTTATATGCTTGCTTCATTTGGGATGCAGAAAGTAATAGGGTAAATAACATCCATCAAAGGGTGCAGTATATCGCAAAATTGAAGTAGTTGCATTTAGCTTTAATTTTTAATCATATTGTTATGTTTTGGGTAGTGGGTGTGTCGATAGTCGCAGATTCGCGTTAGACAAAGATAAAAAGTGGCGCGAGCATGCCAAAACACTAGCCCTGCAGTTGGTTTTGCGTAAAAATGCGATTTGACGAGGCTCGGGCAGGTCGAAGTTACAGCGAAAAAGTCGCAGTGGACGGTGCTGCCACCTACATTGCCAATAACGGGCACTATCATATCGTGATAATTGGGGTAGTTTCAAATGAGAAATGACTTCTATTTTTGTTCAAACTGCTTGAGAAGAAATAAAACAATTCGGAAACATACATTTTTCCCAAATATCGCGTTCCATTTTTTCCTGTTGAGTTGTTAGGAAAGTGGTAAATTTCAAGGTTGACGGCTAAAAAACGAAACAGGAGGAACAGAGCAGGAATCACCAAGACCTGTGCCGCGCCGATGTTGTAGCCTGTAGATAAGGGGTGAGCAACAGAACCAGCATACCTAACGATTTTGATTAGTGATAGATATTTTTCTCTAAATGAAAGACTATTAGTAACTCAGGCAAGCCTTCTAATATAGGTATCAACAGGGTTGCGGTAAAAGGTACAATCGATGGCACAATACAATTATTCTGAGTTGGGAAACAACACTCTTCAGATACCTACCATCAACAACCTCACTATCTCCTATATGGGAGCTATATCATCTGATTCCAGCGCCCTGAAAACAAACAGGTTATCACCAAAAATCTCTGTATTAGCGCCTACCGACATATGCTGAATGACGCTATCAATACCCGACATTTGTAAAAGGTGATTCGCCACACAGACCGCCGGCGTCTGAGGGGTTGAATCAGTGAGCCAGATTGCCAGCGACTCACCGCTGAACTACCGGGCATAACAAAACGGACGATGCGACATGACTCAGAGATCATCACAGACGCAACGACAAATGTAACCGAAGGCCATCTGATCTCGTGCGGAACCCTCGTTCAGATACGTAATATCGCTATCTGCCACCTCGCGGTTCCCTTGTCAAGCCGAACTCATAGGCGACGGAACGGGGAGGGCACCGCGGCACCGTGCCCCCTTTGATTTTGGCATTTTAACATTAGCCCTATGGGCGTTGCATAGAAAGAATATGGGACCAAAAGTCGGCAGTGCCCCCCTTAATTGAAGGTATTCCGCCGCTACTGGCCGAACTGATGACACGCAATGGCCAGTCAGTCACAGCTCAGCTTCCTGCGGAACAGGAAGACACATTCAGTGAGAGTCGGTGGTCATTCACTGTGTCAATATTATTGACACGGTGACTAAAGAACGGTTATATTGCGCCAATAATGTTGCCAGTAGCAGCACCACCAATCTTTTGAACTAAAATCACTTGCTATCGGTGAAAAGAAACCTTCTAGCTATTTTCAAGCAATACGCGAAATAGAGGGAATTAGAAAACCGAAAACCCAAATATTAGCACTAGATTACATCGATCTTAAATTTTGGCCAACATTTTTAAAGCATACATCAGAGGAGCTGTTGGCGGCTTACCGTCGCGTCTGTGATGATCTCTGAGTCATGTCGCATCGTCCGTTTTGTTATGCCCGGTAGTTCAGCGGTGAGTCGCTGGCAATCTGGCTCACTGATTCAACCCCTCAGACGCCGGCGGTCTGTGTGGCGAATCACCTTTTACAAATGTCGGGTATTGATAGCGTCATTCAGCATATATCGGTAGGCGCTAATACAGAGATATTTGGTGATAACCTGTTTGTTTTCAGGGCGCTGGAATCAGATGATATAGCTCCCATATAGGAGATAGTGAGGTTGTTGATGGTAGGTATCTGAAGAGTGTTGTTTCCCAACTCAGAATAATTGTAATGTGCCATCGATTGTACCTTTTACCGCAACCCTGTCGATACCTATATTAGAGGGCTTGCCTGAGTTACTAATAGTCTTTCATTTAGAGAAAAATATCTATCACTAATCAAAATCGTTAGGTATGCTGGTTCTGTTGCTCACCCCTTATCTACAGGCTACAGCATCGGCGCGGCACACGTCTTCGTGATTCCTGCTCTGTTCCTCCTGTTTCGTTTTTTAGCCGTCAACCTTGAAATTTACCACTTTCCTAACAACTCAACAGGAAAAAATGGAACGCGATATTTGGGAAAAATGTATGTTTCCGAATTGTTTCATTTCTTCTCAAGCAGTTTGAACAAAAATAGAAGTCATTTCTCATTTGAAACTACCCCAATTATCACGATATGATAGTGTCCGTTATTGGCAATGTAGGTGGCAGCACCGTCGACTGCGACTTTTTCGCTGTAACTTCGACCCGCACGAGCCTCGTCAAATCGCACTATTACGCAAAACCAACTGCAGGGCTAGTGTTTTGGCATGCTCGCGCCACTTTATATCTTTGTCTAACGCGAATCTGTGAGAAAAACACCTCTGTCGACACACCCTCCGGTACTCTTTAATTAACTTACTGGCATTTCGAGACCATCGTACGCGTCGGTCACGAAGATGTCCTCGACGTCCTCGAATCCCTCGTCGAGTTCATCGCCAACATCGTCATCCTCGCCGTGCTGCGTGTCGGGGTCACCCACCCTGTACTCGTCGAGCCTACAGTCTACGTACGTACGTACGAGTCTGTCCGTACAGGTAGGCGACCCCGACGAGCTCACCTGAATGTAAACAGAAGCATGTGTGAAACATTATGTTTCACGACTTGTGACAACTTGACACGTCTTGGTACGTAAGTTCGTTTTATGTATATAGGTATTAGGTAGTAAATAATTTTAGCTGATCGGTTGTCGCGGCAGCGGCAACCTTTTCATAAGTTCAAATTCAATGGAGGCTAGCGGACTTAACTGCATTCGATCATTGGCATTAGTTGGCAGTTTTTGTACTGTATAATTTGTGTGACTGTAGCATGCGACTTTTTACCCGTGTATCGAAGAGGCTCGCTTCTGGTGACTAGGTCCCTCTTGAGCACCCTCTGCGACAGGTCGTTGACGGCTGCCCGTATCCGGCCGTCGTAGCACCCTGTACTCGTCCGTAGCACCGGACCTCGCGGGCGCTGTCCTGTCCGATCGCCGCCAGGTGACGATCCGCGTTCCATCTAACCAGACCCTCGATCAGGAAGGCATGGAAGTGGAGGTCGCTGGCTGTAGTCCCTGGAAAAGAATAGAATTAAGTATTAATGAGATACAGGATAAAGTGCTTAGCTTAACCCTATTCCAGAAGGCTTTCGACCACCCTTCAGGTTTCTATTGTGTCATTGCCAAGCGATATTAGATAACCAGTATAACGCCTTTTGGGGCGACTAACGGAGCGAGCGAGAGGGTGAGCCTTGCACGTGCGAAATTGCGAGGGGGTACCTCCAACTGAGTTGTGCACGGCACCCTACTAACCGGTCTCTAGCGATGTGCCAAATTTGAGCACAATCGGCCCAGCCGTTCTCGAGATCTGGAAGCGGCACCCTGCACGTGCGCACGTGCAAAATGGGTCCCAACTGACTTTTGCACGGCACCCTACTAACCGGTCCCTAACCACGTACCAAATTTGAGCGCCATCGGTCCAGCCGTTCTCGAGATCTGGAATCGACCCCTGCACGTGCGCACGTGCAGCAGCACCCCAACTCTGGCACATGGTATGCATTGCATAGTGGGTGCCTACCTACATGCCAACTTTTAGCGCAATCGGCCGAGTAGTTACCGAGATACCGTAGTTTCGTGCAACTTTGGCCACCAAGGGCAACTTTGGCCCATGCCTGGAAAAGGGGTGACCTCTATCCAGACCATGTTGCTTAACATTGTACATAAAAGATGACTTAATTATTGAGGCTCAACGAAAAAAGGGGGCCAAAGTTGCACGAAGCTACGGTATTGCAACTATTACAAAACTGACACCTCTTCTTTTTGCACGTGGCACCTACATAAGGGATCATCCACATGCATCTAATGACCATCTCGATTTTCGTGATTGGTTGTCTGGAATCCATGCCCATGTCTGCTTGGAAGAAGGAATGAAGCTACCCTACAAAAATTACCGCAGGTAAATCGGTCAAGTGGTTGCTGAGATATAAGCCTCGCAAAAGCGTCCGCACGGCCGGCCGGCCGGCCGCTCATACCCAGAAATTTCCGTTAATCTACGAAAGACTCCGCTCGCTTCGCTCACTCCGTAATCATGTTTTGGCAGCAAAGAACAAGAAATGCCCACACAATGAGGTACTCTAAGAGCAAACAACACAAGTGAACAGCCAGTTTGGGTGGCAATGACATATTATGTTTATAATTACCTGGCCTGCAGCATGCCGCTCAAGCTGCAGATTGGGCTGGATGTTGGGGCGCTGCCTCAGCTCCGCCAGACGGCCGGACTCAACATATTGCCGGATCCGCTGGATCCCAGCCCTGTCATGGGGGTCCTAGAGCATGGGTTGGATGCAGCTCAGCGTACTGAATTCAGCCACCATCATGACCATCATGCTCTAAGTATGCAGCCCAAGCAAAGCATTTGCAAAACCAAGGAAAGAAAAATGTCATGAAAAGCAGTGAGGTTAACAATAAATGGGATAAAACAAACTTGTGAACATAAGTTAACCAGCCACCACACCATTGCACTGTTGTGTTAGCTCGCAAGCACCAGCACTAAGCCTGGGGACCTGTGCAACAACACAGCACACCTTTACAAGTAATAGGTACAACTCTCAGCCCAGGACACCACAGATGTACTCAAAATACTATACTGTGCTATTGTCCAGGCCATCCACCACCCCCCCAAAAAAAACAGCAAAACAGCGACATGTCCAACACCAAGCAAATAAATTAGTCAGAAATAGTGATTAGAAGCATCAAATAGGACCACCCAGTCACAGCTGACATTCTAGTGAGGATGCAAGAATGGTGCATGATGACTGGGGCTCTGAAAAAGAATGAGACCTAGTTACTCACTGAAAAATGGCGCACTGTTATGGTATGCGTATTGAGCAGGATTCTCTTTAAAAAAAAAATAATTTAATCAAACACATGTGAACATGAGTTCATAAGGGCTTTCTCATACTCTATGGTGTATGTTTGCATCCCTGTACCAAAAAGAAGTCATTGAAAACCACAAGTATATGGGAACTAGGCATCAAGAAGTTCTCCATGAATTGTCTGCTCTTACACTGTGCAGTCCACAGTTACAGCCTCTTTGCAGCGCAGCCACCCCCCGGAAGGTCAGCGGCTGCTGGCTGCCGCACTGCCGTGGGCATCTTTGGACCTGAAACACAAATACAATCATATATTATGTTAATGATAATACATACCAATTACCATAGACCTCTGTATACCTCAACCTCTGACTAAGAAGACTAAGATAAGAGACTAAGAAAATGTAGATTTTTCGGAAAGTTAACAATTGATGGTAGGCGATCTAAGCTCAATATGTCTCCAACTCACCTTGTTATACAGGTCAAGGACAGCCCTTGGCTGTCTCGGACCGGGCCTGCTGCCCATGTCCGGCGTCCAGCATTTTTGTTGTGCGAATTTTTTCAGGCGCTGGGCCCAGATGGCTTGTCCAAAGGCTTTGTGACTTTTCCCCATTGTTTTCTGTCAACAGTAGTACGGTGCTTCAGAGGGCCTTCATATAAAATTTCCATGTTTTAGGCGTCTACTGTTTTAAGCTTAAACAGTGTAAATTATTTCAAAAATGCTTGCTCTCAATAAAATTAAATCATATTTAATAAACCTATGAACAATGCATTTATTTTGACTAAAATGTAATGTCCTTTTATTTGACATCCTCCATGCAAACCTTATCATTATGACAACTCCGGTGATACCAATCAAATACGTTGGAACCTCTAACAATGTCGATGCAAAACTGAAACAGAAATCGATACTGACAAGGTACCTTCTTCTCTACCCACTTTCAAGACTTTCAACATAAATATATTCAGCATAACACTACCCATGCATGCCATTAATGTAAAAAAATTAATGACCTACACTTGGCGCTGTATGTTCGCCAGACTCACGTGCTTTGTCCAACGTTTGTTTACATTTGCTGGCTCCGGGATGCATTCTACCGATACGACTGAATCTTGCTTCAGTAGAGCATACGCATCTCCGGCATCTCCAGCACCTTTTGCTAAAGCTCATAAGAGGTCCACTGCTCCACCAGACTCGGAACCGGTAGATCATCGATCGGTTCCGCCCTCTGATTGGTCGAGGGAGAGACTGCAACGCCCATTCCCCAGCATAGGAAACTATCATCAAAGACTTCAATTGATACCTCCCGATCACAAGAAAGGAACCATAGCTTTCGCGTGGAATATCTCCCGACGGAATTAAGGGAGGGCGACGATATTGACTCAGTGAGCTCTTGGATGCTCGTAGTTGAGAATGAGTGCCTTACATTGGGCCGAAATGTATTACAAAATCTTTTCTTTCTCCTTCCCTCTTCCCGTTTGGAGTTCCCCCGCTGGCAACACTAATGTTCCCCAGCTTTGGCGCAGTTGGTAGCGCATCGGTTTGTATTGTCAAAGATATCGGGTTCGAATCCCGGCGGGTCGGCGGCTTTTTCCTCCTTGAACGCCGCCACTGGAGGGTACTTCACCCTCCAGCTGATTTGGACACCCTACCAGCGGATATTTGTACTCGCAGAAAGCGAGTTCACAACCCACACAGCGCAGGTAATACGCCATGTGCGGATTGTGTACCCGCTGCGAACGGGTAGGTTGCCTTCTGTGTGTGGGTTGAGTCCCCATCCTATGCGGGTTAGGTACACAATATACTCGGGTTGACAGCGTGCGATATGCGGGTAAACGCACCCGCTGGTAGAGTGTCAAATTAGGTGGTGGGTAGGTGTACCCGCCAGCAGCGGGTTTTACTCGCTGTACGCGGGTTGAATTGTTTTCAGTGGAAGCCCGGCCACCCCGTTTCCGGCTAAATTATTCACAATAAAATGTTCAACTGTTTGTCCTTTCAGCGTGGCAGCTAAGGTAACGCCAGCAAAAAAGTTAAGGCTGACAAAAATTGCATATTGTTAAAGTTATAGCGCAAAAATGATATTTTAAGGGTTTTTAGCTAAAAAGTGAGATATGTTGCACTGTTTATGTTATACCATACAGTACTGATATTTATACGAATGTTATGTAAGGACCATTTAAGTGTTTGTAGTGAGGGGTGACGAGGCAGGCTGGCTTAAGTATGACATTTTTTCGAATATCGCTGTTCTAAAGTAAAAATTAGCACATTGGGGTAACCCCGGGCGAGTGGCCAAGCTTACCCCCAACCGAGAGCAATGCCACTAAACCACTGTTTTCCATGAGATAATAGGTACTGAGCAGGTTTGGTTTACACCTAGATCAAAGATAAATTTCGAAAATAAACATGTTATCATATACAAAGCCAGTCATGTCACTTAAGGTCAACTAGGGTCAAACTACGTTTTTGCAGATAACGCGACAGACAATGAAGCTAGAGCTTCAAAAATGGTGTCGTTGTGTTCTTCTTCATCAGCCGAGTCGAATGATATGCAATATGATGCATTAAGGTAAAAAGAAAAATAAATTTTAAGGAATTTTGAAATGCACATTTTTTGTCAATTTTGCATCACGTTTTTCATCGACCTGTACTGTATATGTAGTAGACGCTAGGTAAAATAACAGAAGTGACATAAACTCTAAGATGTCCAGAGCTAATCAGTACCTTAACCCTCGCCGGACCTATTGGTTTTCTACATACGCGCCGGCCGAGGGGGGGGGGGGGGCGGGTACGACCCCCCCCTCGCCGTTTCGCCCCTGGTGGAGCTAGCGCGTCGCGGAAAAAACGAGCGTGTGCGCCGTTACGAGACGCAGAGATTGGTACCCGATTTTAAGGTCTTAGGTCAACCGGTGACCTCTGAGGTCAGGTCAAGTGCCCCAAGGTACGGTTCCGTTTTTGGTGAATAACTTCGCAAAAAACGGCCGCAGAGCGCCGATTTTGGCAGCATCGTGTTCGTCTCGCTCAGGCGCGTCGAATGATATACTTTTTGTCCGGGTCAGGTCAACTTGGGGTGTTGACCTCAGGTCAAGGTCAGGTCAGCACCCCCAGGTCACGAAGTTGGTCGAAAGGGGTCATGTCGCATATCATTCGATTTGGCAGGTCTTCCTGAGTCCATTGGTGGCTTTCCCGACTCGCTAGCTCAATTTGATCAAGAGTTATTGACGAAAAACTAATATGACCTTGATGACGTCATAAATGACGTCACGCAAGGTCAACATTGCAAAAGTGACGCATCTAACCTTGCAAGGAGTGCATAAAATCACGATTCTGTGTGCTTGAGATAGTTGGAGATCGTTCCCGGCGCCAGAATAGCAGTTTGAATTTTTCCCCATTGACTTATAATGGTGAGGTCACGAAAATGACCTGACCTCATATGACCTTTAGGAAAAATCCGAGATATACAAGTTGTGGGACTCATGATGGATACTAGATCCTGCAAGTTTCATTTCCCTGTGACATCTCCTCTGGCAGTGAGGGCGTTGCGAAGTTGCAACATCTGAAGACCGTGCAGAGGTTCACTTATGACGTCATAGGTCAGTGACCTGACCTGACCCAAAAATGCGGTTGGTGTCAAAAGATGCGGCTTGGATCAAAGGTCAGGTATGCCAAGTTTCAGCTCTCTATCGCCAGCGTGTTCGGAGCTATCGCGAAAAAACCCTATGGGGGGGGGGCGGCACCCGCCCCCCCCCCTCGGCCGGCGAGGGTTAATATTTCACTTTCCGTTAATATTTGGAAAACACATAATGGTTTCATCAACTCGTTGTAAAGCGCTGGGGAGGTGGCCGGCGTTACCCCTATGCCGGGCTTACCCCAGAAAAATCAACACTTTTTTAAAACTCGATTTTCTCAACCTTATACTTATTCCACGAAACCGATTTTTTTGGGAAAACACGGCCAATGAACTTAGCTAGCTAGCAGGATATCAACATTTTATACAGTACGTATGGTATGTAATAAAAATGAAAAAGAGCTTACTATGCCGGGCTTCCCCCGGCTTCCCCTATCATGCATGATTCTAGATTCAATTTATTGTTCCCTTTCTTCTTGGTAAAAGCAACAAATCTGCACACAGTACACGCCGCTCTGAAAGGCTCCCATTGCGTTAATATGCAATGACGGCCCTTCTGTTCCACAAAACGTGCGATTAAACTATGTGGGATTATCCCTTATTTTTAGTGTCATTTTGTGCAGAATTGAACGCTTTATCAACAGCTTGTTAAAAATCGACATTTTATCGTGCATGTCGATAACAAAATTAATAGGAACGTAGATCTGGCTAGCGATGCTACATGGACCTCCAAGTAAAGATAGTAGGGAAAATGAAATCTGCGACGAGGTATCCTCAATCCTCATCCTTCGAATAATTATTATCATTGAATAGCCCGTAAAATCTTTTCCCGGATGTGATTTTAAAACCAATATATTCTTCCGTTGGTTGTTGGCAAAAAATAATCTATCATGGGGTTCAAGTCGTTCTGCGTTCACGGCCACGCCCCGCTCTCATCGGGGAAATATGCAGCATGACTTTGTTCCACAATTAGCGCCGTGAAGTGATAGCAGATTTTCCCTTTTAATAGCGCCATACTGTGAAGAATTGAACACTTTAGGTATCGGACACCTTTCTTGATCTAGAATCGGTCGATTGCATTGTGCGTGTCAACATGAAACTTGACATAGGTAACTCGAAGTTTATTGTTATCAGGCCCAGCAATGCAGAATGAGCCGTGAACACTGAGCTATGAACGAGTAAGGAAATTGAAATCTGTGACGAGATGTTATTTTGATGTTTCGAATACCTAATAAGTAGGTGCCAGTGCATGGCCCGTTAAATTTAGTACCGGACACGATTCCAGATTCAAATAAATATTGCTGTGCTTCTTGGCAAAAGCAATAAGTCTGCACACATCATAGGCCACAGTGGGCCATCATAGGCTCCCATTGCTTAACCACGGTGACTATGCTATAGCATGCAATGTCGGCTGGACATTCTTTCTGTTACACGAAAAGTGCGATGAAGTGATGGCGGATAATCTCTTGAATTTAGTGTCATTCTGTGTAAAATTAAACGCTGTATCGAATGCTAGTCTAGAATCATATATCAATGATATCTGTCAATGCCAAATTGCACTGCAAACTTGAATTTTCTCGTGGGACCGGCCGCCGGCGGGCCGAGCGTCACGTGACCCCAATCTCAGGAGCCGGTCAAGGTCACATGGCCTGAGTACAGTTAGTAGTTCCCAGATTCGCCGCCAGAGTAGCGCCACTTGCAACGGAGTAAAAGAATGCTACATTGCGCGGTAGACTTTTAAAATCCCCTCACCCGCCGTCGGACATCGGGTCCCCTCCCACTCGTTCCGCGACCGCCGCCGCCGCCGCCCGCCCGACCGCCGCCGCCGCCGCCGCCGCCCGCCCGACCGCCGCCGCCGCCGCCGCCCGCCCGACCGCCGCCGCCGCCGTCGCCCGCCCGACCGACACCGCAACCGCCCCTCTCGCCGGGGACGACTGGCCGCCCCTGCCGGCCCCAGGCGCGACCCATAAGGTGGCCTCACCACCGGCACGCTCCGTGCCACCCGCTCCTAAGCGCACTACCGAGGACCCAGAAGCCGGCGCCATGTCCTCACCGGCCGCCCCTCAGGCCTCGCCCTCCGTCCGGTCCGTCACCGACACCGACACCGACACTGACGACCCCGCTCCAAGGCCGTCCCGCCTCTCCAAACACTCGAGCGGCTCCGCGGAGAGCCTCGGCAGCGGCCAGTCAGAGGCCGACACTATCTCCCTACAGCTCGACGAGCTAGACACTACCATAGTCAGCGCCCCCACCCCCTCACCGCCGCCCCACGACACCCCACCGCTCCGCCGGAACAACACCGTTCCCTTGAGCCTGGCCGACCTGGATGTGCTGGAGTCAGCCAGGTCCGGCCCGCTCACTCGGTCCGCTCTAAAGAAACAGTAATATGCCACAACACACGGAGGAATTCCTGCTCCAGTGGAATGCTAACTCTGTAGTATCCCACTGGGCGGAATTCCGTGAATATATAGTTAATAAAAAGCCATTAGTAGCCGCCATCCAAGAGACCCACTTCCTCGACACTGACTCGACTAAATATAACTTTAACCTCTTTGGATATTCTCTTTACTGCAATAACGTAAATGATTCCCCACGCCGAGGCGGTTCGGCTTTGTATGTCTCTAACAACCTTCTACATCATCAAGTTAACTTTGACTCTAACCTAAATTACGTTGCAACCACAATCAAAATTGCACAGCGAGACGTTAATGTAATCTCTCTCTACTTGTCACCTAGTATTAACGTAACGTACCAACAACTGGATCGACTCTTTGGCCAAATCCCCTCCCCTAAATTGATAATAGGTGATTTTAATGCTCACCACACTGCCTGGGGCTGCAACAACATAACACAGCGCGGCACCACACTTTACAACATCATTAA